GCATTTTTCCATCTGAATTCAGCCAATGCGGAAAAAACAAGGGAGCAAAAAAAAAAGAGAAAACAAACAACGGAATTCCGAGCGATGAGCGAGAATGATGTATGTGCAGAGTAGGCACATTCGATGTACATAAAAATAGTATTTTACAAATCTAACACTTAATGATGCTCATCAATGTATATCTCATGTTCGTCATATTTTTCCTTGACTCACATATGATTCAGATATGTTTGCTATTCAACATAGAAAGCAACAATATTTTTTGTTGTGTTTATTTCCGAGATGAATTTCTCCTCTCTCTCTCTCTCTCTCTCTCTCTTATTCTCTTCCTCTTCGTCTATCTCGCGAAAAAAGCGGTAAATCGATCGGGAAGATTTCTTCATTTCCTTGGTATGGAATTTGGTTGTTGGTGAAAAAAAATGAATTGAAACAATATGATGAATCGTGTTATTTACCGCTTAGAACAAGACGTGGGAATTTCAAGGTAAATTCGTACTTTCGTCTTAAATACAACAAAACGCTTGAACCGACAAATCCAATATAATTATTTGATTGATCAAACGTGATCGTTTCAAATGATTCTAATCAACTGTAGACACTGCATAACACGGTTGGGAATTGAAGTGAAATGGTGTGATTGTCGAGTATTGCAACACACTCAACAGTTTCACTTAATTCTTTTGTCTGGTCGGAAATGAAAATTATTGTTATCATTAGTTTATTTCTGGCATTGTTATTTGGTGGAGTGTGTGTGTGTGTACGGTGTTCACAAGCTAGCATCAGTGCGCTCGCATACAAGAAATTAATGGTAATGAAAATGAAAATCATACGCCTGTAAAGATGCAAGAGATGTGCATGATGTGCAAATAGATAGATGATTATGGTGAAAAGTCTAATGGATTTATACGTATTGTTACGCTTGAGTCGAGCAGTTGAATTGGCGTGAATGCATTAACACTCAAGAGTGAATAACAGAAACAAATGAAAAATGGCGGCGTTTTGAGTGCGATGATGTATGAATGAAAAACGAAATCGACAACGCATCAGCCGTCAGTAGCAGTAGCAACAATAACAACAAAACAAAGCTCATCACGAATCACTCAAAAAAATGTATGATAAAGAAATCCACGCACACAAAAACAACAACATTTTGATGAAAGTGTTGAGAATGAAAGAAAAACAACAAAATATCAGAATTATGAATGTGCATCAACTTGACCCATTTCTCTCGATCATATTACACGCTCTGAGCATTGAACGAACGCCATAAAACCGTAGGCTGAAGAATCTACAATCAATTTCTATTTTTTTTTTTTCACAAAAACATCATCTTTTTTTTCGTTTCGGAAAGTTGGCATGCTATCGTAAGACAAATCAAAAGTTTTTTTCTGCTTACCGCTTAATTTCTTCTCATTTTCATCTTTTCAAGTTCACATCACACAAGGAAGTTAGATGAACCATTCAGTTTTTTTTTTCATTTGGCATTAGTAAAAATAACTTTTCTTTTTCACATAAAAAAAAATTGAAATTGATCAATCTTATGCGGAAACATTGCTATCATGGCATTTGATTGTGGCACGATAGAGCACGAGTTTTCAATGATTTTTCTCATTTTTTTGTCTTTTGATTTCTATATGTCTTTTGTTGAGTATGCAAAATATTTATTTTTTATTCATTACAATGAAAAAAAGAAGAAAAAAAATGAAAAAGAGTGAAAACAGATAGATAACATTCCAAAATGAATTTGAATTTCGAATGAAATATTTTTTGTTTCCTCTCCATTCAGACACAACCTAAATTTTACGCCCGATTTCTATATTCTAAGAAATCACACATTAACACGCAATGTTGAACAATATGAGTAAATGTTTATTGTTGTTGTTGACAAAGATCAAATGTGATAAAAATGGCCATTGTACGACAGTCGCGCGCCGATGAATAATTATAAAGATGATAAAATTCAAACGAAAAACGAGGATTTTCCTCTTCATTTGTATTCAAAGATGTACACGTGTTTTCGGGGTCAGAAGCAAAAAAAAATTATCGCGCGCGCGTGATTCTTGGGTGAAATTAATCTTCATCTTCTTTTGAAGGCTTACAATTTCTCGCTTGTAAATTAGGCATTCATAAACTGTTGGTCATTATTTGATTTGTACCAATAGTGACACAAATAGGGCCGTTTTCTTCTCATCAATAGCTAAATGAAAGTGCTGGCAAACTTATCGAACCATTTCAAATCTTTCAATTTTCGTGTTCAATGTTTAAGTTCATTAACTACGCTTGTTATGTTTTCACACGTTGAATAACATAATGGTTCATTTGTCGAATTCAATTATTGGGCCTTTTTTCGGTCTCAGCTATCTATGTATGTTGAGATCATAAAAATGGAAATTTTATCCATCCACATGAATAAGAAGAAGATATGAAAGCGGTTGCCGTGGAAAATGCCTTTGACTTTGAGAGTGAATATACAGACGTTACGCATAAATTCACTCATCAGTGATTCAGTTTGAACAAGCATGACCGCGATTTATTTGGTGATTTTACTCAAATTCCGATCGATTCATTTCCTTGCTTGTTTGCATCGAAAAAAAAAGTTTCTAAATTTTAATAAATATAATTATAATGCTTGAAATATATTTGATTTCATCTGCTCGGTAAACTTTTCTTGTGCTACAGCTCTTCCACTTTTCGCATATATTTGTGTGTGTACACTGTGTGGCTGCTATTCAGATGAGATCATGCTTGAGCAAAACAATTCAGAAAAAAAATGATTTTTATTTCTCGCTGCTCGTTAAACTGGTCTGAAAGTGCATTGGAAACAGAGAAAACGCACATTATATCGAACACACGCAGACATACATATTATTACAAATTAAAATTGTTCGGAAGACCATAGAAACGACGACGATGGAAAAGATATTCGAGTTTAAGCATCAAGGCGTGTGCATTTATTGCCATCTTCATTTACGCAAATCTCCACCTTAATTAAAGAGTATTTGAAAAATGCTTAAATTACACGTCAAAATTATAATGTGCATTTGTTGTTGGACAAACGACATCAAAAGCACGACATTCGAAGATGTGATGCACACACAAAGCAGTTGTAAGTGGTTCTTTCTATGCTCTCGAACGATATCAGTGGGTCATTTGGAATTTGTCTCTCTATTCTATCGTCGATTCACATGCACACACACACACACACAATCGACGCGAAAACCTAGACCTACATTTTACTGCTGCATCAGCAACAGTGAACGAACGGAACGCCGCAAGATCGATGACTTCGATTTCAACTTCCTAGTTTTCGCTTTGCGTCATATTGGAATTCGATGTATTGTCGGTGAGTCTCAAACAGAAAACGAAGAAAAAGGAACGATCGCATCGTGCGCACGCTCGACATTCTCATTTTTTTTTTTGTTGCATCAAGAACTGGTTTGTTATTATGCCTTTTTTCTGCATTTAAATGGTATAGTTTATATGGAATATCGATTATGATGACGACGATCGCAACGAAATACATGCGTTCGCCACTCTTTTGGGACCGTACATTGGCTTACTGTATCAATTTCGGAAATCACATACTGGCACTTGTTTTGAGTGCAAGCGAGTAATTTATGGGCGAGCTGTTTATCGGTTTCACTGTACAATGTGCAATAGCTGACCGACAGAACAGTCATACACGACAGAATTGAGTAAAAGCGGTCGGTTTGGTTTTGTCCAGCATCTTGTTGTGTTCTTTGTATGTAATTATACACACACGTGTACAGAAAGAAAAAATGGTGTTGATACTGCCACTGTCGTTGTTGCTTGTGTGTTATTTTCTTGCGATCATACCAGCTGAAGTAGAAAGAACCAATGGCCAGAGACTAAGAATGTCGCACACGCATTCAAGAAAGTTTACTCAATATGAATCACACACATTTCACTTCCTCATGCGATAGCAACATTTGCGTTGTACAATCAATGAGAGCACAATTGATTGAATTTATTACTTGACAGAAAAGGTGCGCAAATGATTTCCGGAATATGGGATTTAAATTCAAACAAACAAAGGAAACGGTAAAATGATTTTTGTTTTTAGAACATGCGACATCAGTGGAATCAATGATTCATGGCCAAACGAGGAGCCCATTTACACCAGTGCGTGAAAAGGTATTATTTTTTCGTAAAACGCAAGAAGTTAAATGTTTCGCTGGTCTCAGACGAAAGAGAAAACCGAATGCACGCATGATATCATTTTTGAGAAATATATGGGCGAAATGAGCATGGATGAGAAAGTGCGACCAATTAAAAAGCTTTGCATTTCGGTGTATATTCATGGATGCGATTTATTTCGTTGAACAATTTTTATTCATTTTTGGTTTTCATTTGAAAATAAAGTAATTCTATTTTAAGTAAAAACCCACTCAATCGACAACCATGTGAATTCTTCTCTGTATATGACAAATTTCAATGTGAAAAAAATTGCTTCAGCAATTTTGATTGTTCTATTCTCTTGTCAATTATATCGTATTTTTCAGTGTCAAATACGTAGATTATTTCTCTGTTTGTGCTTAAAACAACATAAGCGACGCGCACTCAACTGACAGCTGACATAAAAGAGAAGTTTTTGGTGCGTATTAAATGAAGTTTATTGTTACTTTTAACTGTCATACCAAAACTCAACCGAATGAATAAAGTGCAAACAACTCGAACAACAATCACATCAAGTAGAAATCTGTTTCTCTCCGTCGACTCGATACAATTAAGGCGTTTTAAAAAAAAGTGCATCGCGAAATCTAAAAGAGTTTATTTATAGAGAAGAAATTGCACGACATCTAGAACCGTAATCGCTGGCAAAAGAATGGAGAGACGGAAAACCTTCAAATTGCACAATGCCGGTCGCGCGTTGTGCGGTCTTCCGATTTGATTGCAATCGCAATGATACTTCTGACGATACTTTTGCGTTTGAATGCATTGAGATCATATATATATATATTTATAACAAAACCACATACCTTTCTGAAAATAAAATTTCTCCCGATGATCTTTAAACACAAGCAGTCGATAATCGAAAAAAAAGGACTGACTTCAATTTCGATTCAATTGAATTGTTTGTTTAGCTTTCGCTTTGGTAATTTAACGGGCATTCAATTTGTTTCATATAGAGAAATGTCAAAATTGTGTAGAAATTAACATGCAAGTGAGAACCGTTTCGTTGATCAATTGCCTTTACGCCGTTAATTCACTCGAAATCGACTGTGGCACGCAAGCACTTTTCCACTACCGTTTTTCTTCTTTCGTCTGACGTTTTTTTTTCTTGTTCAAACTTATTTATGAAATTGTTTGTATTTTTTTTTCGCTCAAGTATATCACATTGCCATAAATGGATTTATAGAATTCATTTGCACTCAATTGATTGTAGTTTTAGTGATCGGATCAAAGAATTTTCGTATGCTACGGCACATTAAATAAACACATACACATACACTCACACAACATAAATCGAATGTAAAATGTTTTGTTTGCGATGCGCACGCTTCAGACCGAAAGTAGAAAGAGAATTTTTTGATTTCGTGTTTTAAAAACGGCAAAGCAACGAGCCAATAAATATGCAAGAAGTGAAAGAATCAAATGGAATTTCGTCGTTCGTTTTTTTGGTGTTGTTTTTTGTTTCGTCTCGTTTTTTTCAATTGGTAAATCGATTGTTTTTCTGATGATTGGTATGCAAGTTTATGGGCTTTCAGATTCGAATTATTATTATTTTTTTGTTTCGTCTTACAGTGATCGTGAATTTAGAATTGGTTGCGAAGCACGCGCGCATGCGTACTCGATTCTTTACTGTGCAAAACACACACGTCTGTATACCACTGATTTTAAAATACGACTAACGAGCCATTTCGAATGATTTTGGTCTTGTGGTGGCTGATGTGCTTCTGCACTCACAACGATGTACCACTTTTATAAGAAGAAAGACCTCTTTTCTTCTTTCTCATTTCTTTTCCATTTCTTCAGCATTTTGCACTTACTCACGGCGTGTCTGCTATGCTGTGCTGTGCCCAACACTATGCGTTCATTCATTTCGTCGATTCTCTTTCATCACATAATTCTCTCTTTCGCCCAAATGTATTGTACTCCATTTGTGGCAATGTGTTTGTCGGCTTTATCACCATTTATAAATACATACATTCGCAATTCGACGAAGTGTGCGGTTTATTGTTAAATGATAGTGTATACATGAATATTATACATCTCTTGTTCATTGTCTCCGAAAAAAAAACTGCACTACAAGTGCTGGCGTTAATTTCTTTCTTCGCATTTTCGACTATTGTGTGATAAAACATAGATCGAGAATTGCGAGATAAATATATCGAATAAACGTGATAAGTATAGTTTCATTTTTTTGCACATTTAGAACGAAAAACAACTTGATTTCTTAAGTATAGACATGAATGTGGATCGCGCAAACAGAGCCGGCTTCAAACAGCCAGACACGTAAAAATAATAGCGTCGGTGATCTGTTAAATGATAGTTTATTGTAATGTGCGCTTTTGTTTTTGCTGTTGTTGTTTGTTGACCTGTGTGATTTGGTTAATGACATAAAGAATATTTGAATCACTGAATCATAATGACCGCTTGTTTTGCCAATTTATTGTGAATTCAATGCGAACAATTGGCCAACAACAGGAATCTTAAAAAAACACAAATGACCAACACCGCGTGTGTTTTCTTCATGAAACAAAAGACCATGAAAACGAGCATTTTTATCGACAAATTTCCATTTGTGCCATATTTTTTTGTGTATAAATGGCTGCTTTTTTATACTTTCGCTTTAAATTTAATGATTCTCGACTTTTCTCTTTCTTTATCGGCCAGTTTAAATGACACATTTAAAATTCAATCTCAACCAAACCAAAGCATTCTTTTCGGTCTGCATTGTGCATTTCGACGTCGTAAAGTCGCAAAGTCATTGGGTTGCGGTCATCGTCGCTCATCAATGAAAATCGTACGAAAGTCGTTTTTCTTTTTCAAAAATTAGTTCCGTATTTTCGTATGCTGTGTGCGACGCGTCTTCAATTTATTGCATTTTATGTTGTTCAACGAATTATGGATAAGCAAAAGCGCTTAAATTCCACTTTCTTCTTTTGTGGTCGAGAGTTCAATTGCCAATGATGAAAACAGGTTCCTGGATTGGAAGTTGAAAAATCGAATTTCTCGATTTACAAATGAACAAAAATATTTGTTATTGGCTTAGCCACGGTTGTTTAGATTATTTTTGGTTCGCTTTTTGATCCGTTGCCTAGATTGTTTTGCTTCTTATTCTTCGTTCTCGTTTTCCGCCTTGTCATAGACGGAAGATGCACGTAATCGGATTTGAATATCCAAGAGATGATCATCCGGTAAATCTTTAACTGGTTTCATTTGCGATTGGCGCACGGAAATTCAAGATTAAATTTTATGTCTCGTCGTTCTTGTCTGGTAGAACAACAATTGAAAAGTTCGTGCACAACGCAATTCACCACAAAATTGTTTATAATATACTTTGCACACGAAGAATGTCTTTCGGCAACTTGAACCACCAACGTCTACATAAAATAATTTAACCTAGTCTTGGTGATTCGCTTGATAACAATGGCAGAGAGCTGAAATGAATTTCACGAACTCTATTGAAAAATGTTTGTTGTGGTTTCCTCAACGAAAACTATCTTCATTTTGTCGGATTTTGTATTCATTTTACATATTTTTTTCGGTAGGAATTTAGCGGCAAAAATGTGTTTATCTTGTTTTCATCACTTTGGATAAATCACATATTCTTGACTCGAACTTGTTGAATACGGTGAAAAGATTTGTAGACATACATTTCAACAGACCGTTTAGCATATAGACGTGTACATTATGTCAATACCACATGTTACACTGATTTTCTTTGAGCATTTTTTTTTAGTGTTCCACATATAATTTGTTTTTTTATTTCAAATGAAAATCAAGTGTCTCATACTGAGTTTTGTTTATGAATGATTTTCATTTTTTTTCTTTAAATTAAATTGATCGATTATATCATCGGGAATATGAGCTTTGTGTCGCACAGTAGTTCAAATCGGTTTAAAGTGATACAGCAAGATACAAGCAATTATTTTTCACAAGCTGTAAAACATAACTCATAAAATGAGACACAAACATATCAGAATTAAAACGTGAAAGTCTCAGTTCCCATCTGAATTGACCTACTTTTGAGTTGATCATTTCCATTCGATGGACGATGGTTATGAAATTATAAAATATTTTCGAAATTGTATATGCATGAGGATTGACGATCGATATTTTTCGATCGAATCGATTTTTTTTTAATTTCAAATTTTCATAGATTTGACCAAAATTCAGACTACTCTCAAAATTGAGAGAGAAATTTTTGAAATAATCCAATCAAATTGTCACTATTTATGAGTAAAAATCAGTTTGAATTGGATTGAAACTGGAGTTGATCTTTCTAAAAAACATAATCTTCAATTAAGCAAACAATGAACGAGTGAAAGAAGTAGTTATTTTAACCCCATTAAATCCAATAAGAAACCAAAGTAATTTATCATTATGTGATGTTTTGGTGCCAGAATCACCTATAAAAATATCAAATAAACAAAACAATGGAAGAATCAAATAAACCAAAGTCACAGGTGATCAGATTTACATAAAAGTATTGTTTACCATTTCTTTGAAAAAACCGTTGTTGTTTTTTTCTGCTAATGACAAAAATCATAAGAGAAATTCATATAAATCCTGAATTTCCATTGAAACATCTCCATTTCGTACGATCGATTTCGTATTCAAACAATGAAGTGCACATATCAGCGGCTTCGATTTCAAAATAATGAAATAAAGATGCGTAAAGCAAGAAAAACGCAAAGAAAATCAGAAAAACCAAGGAATAAATCATTTTAATCGAAATTGACGCAGCATTTCAATAATGCATTCGAGTTTATGTGTTGATAAAAAGCGAATATACATACACTTTGGTGTGTGCAATTAAAATAGAGAGACTATACTGTTAACAAGGAAGCGGCTTAGAAATGACTGAGTACGGATTTCGAAACAAAACTCGTCGATGGTTACGTCAAAAGTGTTTGCGATAAACGCTTTCAAAATCGGTATGTGATTTTATCTACCGTTGGATCCATTGGGTAAAAGAGGTAAGAAAGAATGCAGATGCGTGAAATGAAACATGTTTGTAAGCAATGTAGAAATCTCAATTGATTACAGTGGATCTTTTGTATCAAGTCATCATCTCATCAATCCAATTGATTGGCCCACTTATAAGCAATCACAAGCTTTTAACATTTTTCTGTCAGGTAACAATAGCAAAATATAATCATCTCGAAAAAAGTGTGGAAATAACACCAACAAAGAAATTGTGATTCAGCAAAATAGGGAAGTACTTCTGGCTAAAAATAGAAAATTTACACAAATTGATCAAATATAAAAAATGATATCGATATCAATCTGAAGCTATAAATGGAATAATTATAGTTTGAATGTACACTAATTAAGCAATTTTCTTTATGTGATGAACACCGTGTGATACTTTTTATTGATTTGCTTTGAACTTTCAAGTTTGATTTGTTATACGTCCATTTCATTGACCGTACCAACATTAAATTCTAGTTTTTGCGAAGAAATCAACTTGAATGCGAAAAACGAGAATTTTCAATTGAAACCCATTATTTTTTTTGCGCATCGTTGTTCATTACCGCCTCATAACATTAAATGATGAAGGACAAACACCAAAGCTACTTAGCATTCTTCTTCAATCAATGAACATATTTCTCTTCTTGACACTTACGATTGAATTCTAAGCTAACTAGACTGTCTGCCATTCGGATATACGTTTATACATAGAACGCTAACAAAGAACAATTCGAAGAAGAAATGCGACGTCTACAAAAAAGAAGAAATGTAAAAAACGTATGAAAATCAAAACAAGATAAATTATATAGAATAATGTTTGAACGCAACCCAACTGGAAATGAACGCGCTTCGCCCGTTTGCCTTGAACTCAAACAATACACAGAATGCACTTTGTCTTTTTACTAAATTTGTGGTCACACAAATGCTTTGTTTTTCATTCGCAAAAACAGATTAAGATGAAAATTGCGTCATCGCCACCATATGTTCCATTGAATTAAAACTGTGAAAAACGTGCGCCAAAAAAGAAGTATGCAATGGTTTTCGGATCCGTATTTTCACTTGACGCCAAATGCCTATTGACATAAATGTGTTTGGTTCGAAGTATTTTGATTCGTGACAGACGAACTCTTCAGAAATCAATGATATTGAATTATAATGTCAAAGGTTATGCATCACTCCATTAAATTGTGTGTCATGGACAGAGAGAAGCGTTCCAACTGCCTATTTGTTCTAATATGTTCTCGTTGTCATATATGTCTATTGTTCATATTTGATTGCAAAGCTAACACACTCTTCATCATATTTTTACACGCACAAAATTAAATACCGCATCCAATTGGCAAATATTTATCGGTAATATAATACATTGAACAATTTAATCGAGTCTCAATACGACTTAATCGATTAATTTTAATATATTTTTATTAATAAAATGGGATTTGAATGTTTATCATGAATGCTTAAGCTTTGTTTTTGGTTTTTATGGATGTAAGCTTTGTTTTCGTTTTATGTTGATTTCGAAATATATTCAAATTTTTCTTCTGATAAATCGCTGTCATTATAAAGATGTTATTAGCCCGTTAATGCTTATAAGCATTCTTTGGTTTTGTTCGTTTCTTTTTGAATCATTCACGGGTGTGAATTGTTGTATCATCCAGAAATTGCATAAATAATAGCCAACAAAACAGGATGCCCGAGACAGTAATAAAAAAATGTTTGGCTGTGCACTTTAACATTCAACAACGGTTATCTATTATTATAATATGATGAAGTCAAAGATATATTTCTTTTGTGTTGACAAAAATACGTCGCCAATTCCGTTGATCGTTTTGTTTTGCGATTGAAGCGCATTTATAGAGTCAGATTCATTTGAAGTTTTATTAAAAGGATGCGATTGGTTGATGTATCACTGAATCCAACAAGATAATAACTAAAAACGAGGTACGAACTATGACCTTTGTAATAAATGGTATTTTAAAAATCACTTTCCGTTTCGTATTTAATGTTTTTTTTTGGCAGAAAAAAATCGATGGCTTTTAAAGATGATACCAAATCCAAAGAATGTAACAGTTTTATCACAATGCCATCCATTCGAATACTATCGAATGTCATTATTTTCTACTTTAGAGTGCACGAGAAGTTCAAGTGAACCATGTTAATTAACGTCAATCATAGCACATAATAATATGTATAGGAACTTTTCAAATTATGTAACATTTTTTTTGTTTGTATCCAAAATTATAGGTTTGATATACCCGAAAATCACCGATCCCTCATTGATTCAATTAACTCATTTTCGTTTGTTGGGAGACTAAATGTGAGAGATTGATAATGTACTCAATGTTCTTTCGTATTGTCTAATGAACAATAATTTCGCATGACTAATTCGCCCGCAAAGTATATGTAATATTTGACGGGTTCGATATTCGCATTATGAGATTCATCGAAATGATCAACGTTATTTGTACGACCAAAGTGGAATCCACAATTGAAGTAAAAACGATGTTGACGGGTGTTAGATAATTTTCAAGATTTGTGTATATGAAACTCAAATCAGATGCGAAATGGGTTTCGATGACATGATGCTTCGTCAGACAAAAAAAAAATTAAACCAATTAAAGGCAATGGCCATAATATGTGTTAAACAGTTATTATTGCTATTAAACCACGTCGGTTATATCTTCGGTGCCGAATAATATAATATCGGGCCAAAAAAGGTTACATTCGTCATGTGAAATGTGTTCAATGATGGAGTAATAATCGGTGCTTAATCATTTCACGTTTTATGATTTCTGGTAAGAAAAATCTTCACCACCGCCAACAAGACATTAATTTGACTATAACTCAAATACGAGTTGCATCAATTGCACACAGCTCGTTGTCGGTGTCTCGGAATGTTGACAGACCAATAAAAATTCAAATGAATGAATTTGATTCGAGCATCGAAATAAAAATTGAGATGGTTTGTTTGAATGCATTGCAAAAAAAAGGGGAGGCAAAAAAGAGGTATGAAACCTTAGAGCATTGTGAAAATTGTGTTAATTGGTGGATTCTCAAGAGGTGCATCAAAAGTAATAAACTGCAAAGAAAAAAACAGAATTATTTTTACTGTTTTAGCTATTAATGTCTATGCTATTGGTTTCATTACTCGATAATTTTTTCTCTCCTATTTTTTTTTACCGAATCCACTGTTAATATAAAGAAATGAATGAAGATTTCGTGCCGAAACGGTGATGTGTGTATGTGTTGCTTTTTTTTTCTCTTGTGCATTTGAAATTTGTTTGCAATAAATGGCCGTAATTAAATTGATTGTTTGCCAAATCAGAAATTAATGAAATTTAATCCGTGAGAGGGAGAGAAAGAGAGAGACCCATATCAATGGCCTTCTTCTTAAAGGCTTATTCATCGAATTGCTTACTTTTCGATATTGTTCACATTATCGGCTTTGACCACACAGCTATTAATCGCATATGTTGTTTAATCGAATCCAAAATCCATGTTGTACCGTATTGATTATGATGCGAGTATTGCACGCGATGAGCATGCTAAGTCGAGCAAAAGAGATGCGATTTGCTATGTGGCCACACCGCTCATAAAGTAGCTGACACTGAATTACAAATTGACAGACAATTCGATTTGAAAATAGAAACGATAATCACTTCACCTTTACCTACATTCGGTTTGTCGTTCGTGTATACAAGTCTTTTGTTTTGCGCACCACACAACGGTCGGCTACTCTGATCCACTGGTCAAGTGCCGATAAAATACCGAACACGCACCATAAATCTTTATGCCACCGATCATATGTTCAATGATTACCGATCATATGATCCAAACCAATAACAATATGCCAACTAAATTGAACCCAAGAAAATTTATTACAAATTATTAATATTATTTGGCCAGACTTGCCATTGTGCATACTCATTTGTTTGCAATTGTAACACAATTTATTTGTTGCTATTGGTAAATTGTATAATCATCAACGCCGCCGTTCAAACAGGTTGAGAGGGGCTGTCATCAGTCAATCTCTGCTTTTTTACCAAATCGAACTCTTGAAATTACTTATTTTCTCTCGTTCTTTCTAATATTGTGCTTGCGCCCGCCGTCTCAGTATCGGTTTTGATTTTTTTTTTCATTCATTTGTTTTGATTTGTTCGCTTTGTCGCATCTGCCTTTGTGCTTTTGTAGATAGAAACGAAAATAAAAACAACAACAAAATCTAAGCTGCAATGATGGTGGAAGATTAGCGCAGGAAGAGTTTCTTTTGGTTTGAATGGGGTGATACAGACCTGTATATGTGTGTATGTGCAATCGCGCATACAACTAGATTCACCAATGCCATTTGAGATAAACCGAGAGAGGCAATGAATCAATGCGACCGAAAGAAAAAAAAAACATATCGATACGTCTGAACCGAGTATATGTGTTGACGGCGATATTTTTGTTTTTTTTTTTTTTTTGTCAGCCAGTTTTGTGTGTTGTAACATTGCTTCGACAGACACCCAGAGCCTATTTAAGAGGCAGCTTGTTACTCTAACAATTTAGTTTGGTTTCGTTTGTTTCCCGATCATATTATTCGCGAATTATCGAATCGATTCGAAAGGTATATCCATAACATTTTTTGTTTGTTTGATTAAATAAGAGTCCGTTAAATGTGTTTTAAAAGTGTTGTTCAAGTTCTTAAAGTTCTGTAAAATATTTATTTTTGTGATTCGAGACATATTTTAAATCGTTCGAAAAATTCATATTTTTTCTTTGAATTTTCCAGTGGATTTTTAGGAGAGTTTTCAATACACCATAATAAAATTGAGATACACCATAAGAATATTGTGTGCGTTACATAAAAAGGATTTACAAATTATCATATCCTTCAAAGACACTCTAAATTAATTCCAAATTTTAAGTTCGTCCGACTCCATGATGGGTCTGCAGATGTTACGAAATAGTGAAAAATTACATAATTCTTTTTCAAAGTAGTGTATATGTGTAATATTTGCACAAAACACCAAAAAAGTCTAAGGATTCGCTTTGTTTACGTTGTCTAACCACATTTCCTCAATTCATTTTTATTAATGTTGATTTATAAAAATCGCTTCAACTGGAAATAAAAATGGAGAAAAAAAGTAAAAGTGCAATTCTTCGTCATCGGCGTCAAAAACAAATCACTTTTAACTTAATATAATTTGGTGTTAAACGCCTCAACTTTAACTTTTAATTAATTTTCTGCAATGAAGTGACATAATAACCACGAACATCGGCTGTGTGTCTATTACGTTATCTTTTTATTATTCACAATATATGAAAAGTACTCATACACGCTAATAGATTCGTGACGTATCGATCGAAGTCTGAGTGTGAAAGAAGTGGAAAATGAATTGTACATACATGGATTAAAAGAAGAAGAAAAAAACTATCAAAATTTGCATGCGAAGAGGTCAACTTTTTGTTTGACATTTAAGTTTGTTCGATGCATGTTCTCTCTAATTCGTGCGCCCGTTCAATTCCATAAAATATATGGCGAAGAAGAACTATACCGCAATTGACCAACAAACATATATTTATTATTATTAATATTAAAATGGATGGGAATGAAACTGGTTTGCGAGTGAACATTGTTCACTGAACAATGCAATGCATTCGAATGCATTTCAAATATTACCAAATGCGTAAAATTTACACAGTGAGAAAAAAAATATTGTCACTATATTTGGTCGGATAAATTTATTTATTCATATTTTTGTCTAGCCTTTTGACCTTATGTAATTCAAAGACGGTTTGCTTCATTTTTCGCATCACATCCACCATTTAACATGAACATGAAAATTTATAAACTCTTTATTAATTAAAAACAAGTTTTTTTTCTCAATTATTGATTTTTTTTGTGGAATTTTCATTTAATTGAATAGTAATTCAACAGTTTATTTAACACGAAAAGTGCATTTTTTTGTCTCTTTTCAGTGAACAATTTCATTAGCACTAAATGACGTTAGATCATTCATTTTGAATGAAAGTCAACTAACATCAAAATGTCCTTAGCTACAATACTAGCCAATTGGGTTGCTTTTACTGCCCTTTTTAGTGTGAGTGTTATGCGGTTTTATCACAAAAGATTTCGTCAACATATGTTCTTGTTTATTTTGATTCCGTGAAAAGGTTTTAACCAGTGCTTCCCATTTTCCCAATGCATTAGCTCTGAAGGATTCAGAGAATAGGAATAAAATTGAATTGATCGATGTAAAATGTGACAAAAATGAAGATTCGATGCAAGTGACCATCATGTTTTCACAACCATTCGAAGGCATCATTTACAGTCAGGGTTATTTCAATGACCCAAAATGCAGGTATATCTTATTTGTTATGCAGTTCGGGAGAAATGTTCTCAACAATTGTTTAATAATGTGAATTTAAATCCAAATGTCAACACATTTCATCTGTAAAAACAGATACGTTTCGGCTGGTGAAGGTGAAAAATCATACAATTTTGTTGTACCATATGAAGGATGTGGAAGCAAGCCATCGTGTGCTATATGTGATTCAGTTGATAACATTTTGATTATTCAACAAGACGAAGAGGTGCAAGGCGAATTTGATGCAGCGCGTAAAATATCATGTAGCCGAACGGGCATTGAAGAAGAGAAAAAAATCTACTTTAAACCATTCATTGTTGATATGTTAGGTATAGATTTGACAGAAGTTAATCTAATGCATTTTTGTCACGCGCAATCGACTTACAAAAACCTACATTGATATTCAATGCTATATGTAACTATTTTTTTTAGATGTTGTCACTGTGCCAACTAAGAATGGTGGTGTCGATTGTTGGATGGACATTCAACGTGGAATATATCCAAAATTGGCGCCGGTCGGTGAAGTGATTAAAATTGGCGAAGCACTTTCTGTCCTAGTTTATTTACGTGATCCAAAAAATGAATATGATTTATCAGTTCGAAATTGTTGGGCTTATGACGATGACGACTTTGACGATAAGAAAACGGGCAAAGTTCAATTGTCCGATGCATCTGGTTGTACAATGTAAGTAACTTAATTTATTCGGTTAAGCTTTTTGTCATTAACTCAACAACAACAAAAATGAACGTTTTGTGATACAGGAAAAGGAAGCTTTTCGGTACTTGGCATAAGACAAGCGAAACCGGTTCATCGGGCGCTACTTTACTATTGCATAACACCTTAAGAGCATTCAAATTTCCTGATGAGTCTCAAGTTTATCTTAAGTGTGACATAGAGGTGAGTGTGTCTGTCTTATGTAATTATTTGTGTAATAATAAATAAAAAACATTTTCGCTTCAGATATGCCGTGGAAATTGTGCCGAAGCAATTTGTGATGCAGAGGAAATAAGCAAAGTTGATTGTACATCAGATCCACGTCATGAAAATTGTGTTCGAAATAAATTAACTGAGAGAACACCGCTTGGATTTACAACGTTGCCGAGCAGAATATATGAATCGACAACTACTACTAGAATAACAACACGATTACCTTTTATTGATACTACGCGACGACCAAATTTTGTATATACATCCACACAACGGCCGGATTACATGTCAACGACAATTTTCGAACAAGACTCAACTACTTTGAAGCCATTAATATGTACATCTGATTCTCGTGATATTCGCTGCATTCAACAACAATATCCTGAAACAACTGAAAAGGTGGATTCAACCACTTACAGAGAGTCGACAACATATTCGAATTTATTCAAAACCACAACAATTAAGGCAGGCCTTGATTCCTTCTGTAGTCAGTATCCAAAGCATAAGCGTTGCAGCCAACGCGTAACCGATGATTTAAATAGTAATATTGAAATTTTGACATTCAAACCACCATCACCATTTGTCACGGTCAAGTCAAAGCCATCGATCGACTCACGCAATGAGATTCCAAGCGAAAATTTGGAATTAATTCCAACGACACAATCATCCGAAATATTGCAACAACAACTGAATTGTAAGGGGCCAAATATTGATCCCAGATGCCCGAATCCAACTGGTACAACAGCACCCACCTATTTACCCCCTAGTACGACAAAGAGAATAACTGTTGCACCTCGATGTTATCCGGGTTCGCTTGACCCACGATGTAAGGAAATTGAAATTTCAACTCCTCCAGTGGTCATACCAAGGACGAGACCACCACCAGTTACACAAAAAACGACGAAAAAGTTATTCATTTGTGTGCCGGGATCAAATGACGTAAACTGTGATATCGAATCGACCAAAACGACAGAAGAGCCACCAGTTAGAACCACATTTACTCCACCACGCAATCAATTCACGACAACGAAACAACCTGAAAAGCCAATTTGTTTCCTTGGCTCCAGGAATCCGGAATGCCAAAAAGTTTCAACGGATATTTTGACATTCAAACCAAGACCGAGTACGACTTCAATTCCCCCGACAACTACGAAAAGACCATTTATTAGCACAACTCGAGCACCACTTTGCTATCCAGGGTCATCCGATTCACGGTGTCCAAAAAGCACAGAAAAAACTACAACTGATATTACAGAAACTACAACTTCTAAAGTAGCGGACACAACACGTTTACCAATTTGCTATTTAGGATCTCCAGATCCACGTTGTATACAATTAACAACCAAAAAAGTGCCTGCGACATTTGGAACGACATCGAATCTATCTACAAGACCACCAATTTCAACTCCCTCTATTCCAAGTACAACGCGTGCACCGATCTGCTATCCAGGCTCCCTTGACTCACGATGCTCGAAGCCAATTTCCACTGATATTCCGTCATCAACAACGAAAAAGCCATTTATTAGCACAACTCGAGCACCACTTTGCTATCCAGGGTCACCCGATCCACGATGTCCAAAAAGCACAGAAAAAACTACAACTGATATTCCAGTAACAACAACCTATAAAGTTCCGGAAACAACGCGACTACCAATTTGCTATTTGGGATCTCCAGATCCACGTTGTGCCCAATTAACAAGCAAAAAAGTGCCTGCGACATTTGGAACGACATCAAATTTATCTACCAGACCACCAATTTCAACTCCTTCTATTCCAAGTACAACGCGTGCACCGATCTGTTATCCAGGCTCCCTTGACTCTCGATGCCCGAAACCAATTTCCACAGATATCCCGTCAACAACATCGAAAAGGCCATTTATTAGCACAACTCGAGCACTACTTTGCTATCCAGGGTCTCCCGATCCACGATGTCCAAAACAACAACAAACAACAACAAAATTTATGCCAGAAACTACGGTTGGCACTCCAGAAACAACAACTTATAAGGTACCAAGCACACCACGTTCACCCATATGCTATCCGGGCTCACTCGATCCAAGATGTGTAAAACCAAACATAATTGTTCCACAAATTGAGCAAAAGGTTGGTGAAATTCCGGAAACAAGCACATATAAAGAATCAAGTACAACACGAGCTCCAATTTGCTACCCGGGTGCAATCGATCCAAGATGTCAAAAATCGAAAACCACCAGACCGACTATTCCATCGGTTAGTTCCACAAAAGTGGTGACAACTGAACAACCATCAGCTAGTACTCCTCGATGCTATCCAGGCTCTCTCGATCCTCGATGCATTCAAGCAACAACAAAACAGCCACCAATCGTAAATTTGATTTCAACAACAATTAAACCATCGTTTAGCACAATTAAATCTTCAGTTCGCTGCTATCCAGGTTTGAGTTTTTTGGTTAATTTTAAACATAGTAAATTTAGTTTATTTAAAAAATGTTCATTTTTTGTGAATTTTATGTCATAGGTTCATCAGACCCAAGTTGTGCATCGAAACAATTGGTTGTTCCTTTAAAATGTGGACCAGGATATTTAGATCCACGTTGTCCAAATCCAACACCAACTGCTGAACCAGCAACATATTTGCCACCGAAAGCTTCAACAACTTTCAAGACGCAGAGACCACCGATAACCACAACGCCAGTTCCACCTTTCACTTGTACACCAAACTCATTGGATCCAAGATGTAAAATAGTCACCACAACTAGATTCATTCCAAGCACCACATCCGAAGGTATTATTGAGATGAAATTATAAATCAAACCAACTTTGTATTTTTTTGCATTGCTTTTTCATTAAAAAGGAACGACTGCCACTTTTGCACCGGAAACAACAACAAGACTACCGTTGACTACGAAACAGCCACCGTACACCACAAGACCTCCATTCACTTTCACAACGCGGACACCAACAGTCAGTACATTCGTTCCACAATGTACTCCCAATTCATTAGATCCGCGATGTAAAACATTTGCAACAACTAAATATGTTCCAAGTATCCGAACTGAAGGTATGACTATCAAAGGCAATTGACATATGAATTTTATGAATGAATGAGTGAAAAATCAATGAGTTTTCATTTGAATAACTATCTCCTAATTTTCAATAGGAACAACTGCCACTTTTGCACCAGAAACGACAACCAGACCTGCACCATCGACTACAAAACTGCCAACCTACACGACAAGACCTCCATTTAGTTTCTCAACATTTACAACGCGGACACCAATAACAGTCAGCACACCAATTCAATGTGCACCCAACTCGTTGGATCCACGATGCAAAACGTATACAACCCCCAAAATCATTCCAACTGAAGGTACTTGAAAATATTTTTTTGAAAAATTATAGCAGGAACTATGTGAAATTTTATTCTTTATTTTCGAATAGGAATCACTGCCACTATCTCGCCCGAGACAACAACAAGATTTATAACAACAACAAGTACACAACGGCCAACTACAACAAGACCACCGTTGACATTCCCAACGTTTTCAACGAATCGAATAGTTTCATCGCCGCGACCATTCACAACACGAATAACGACAAAATCAACAACGACAACAGAAAATATCTTATGCTATCCAGGTAAGTGATTGAATCAAGTATTTCAATTTGGATTACTTTGTGATAAATGTGTCTAAAATTAATTTCAGGTTCTACAATTGAAGGATGTAAACAAACGTATACGACACCATCATTTTGTTATCCTGGATCGAAGGATCCCCGTTGTCCACAACAACCGCCATCATTCAGCACGCGTAAGCCAGAAGGATATTTGCCACCATTTCCAGATGCCAGATTGAATCGAGTCAAGCGTCAAACTTTGGATGAGTCGGATGAAATTGTGAAATTTTCACTTTCATTTAAACCATTCAGATTTAGTTAAGAACTTTCAAATGTGCTCATTTTTTTAAGATATTTCAAACAACAAGAAAATTTATGTGAAATCAAATTGTCTGAAATTATTTAAGTTGTCGATGCCATATGTATTCTTCTTTAATTCGATTAAAAGACAGTTTATTGCAAAATGTGAAAATGTTTTGAATAATTTAAATCGAAATTTGTAATAATAAATAAAAGTGTATTGATACTTTTACAAAAAAGGTCTTGTGAATTATTTATTTTTTCACAACAGGGTGGGTGAATCGATGCGAACATAGATGTTCCTCCCGATAACACAATAGTCTTTTTCTCGTGGCATCACACAACGTACACTCCGCTTAATTCTGATAATTCTGATTCCTACTTTTGTTCCGGTGTTAACTGATTATTATTACTTTGTTTTCAAATGAAAATGAGTATCCATATCTGCACCTATAAAATTCATTGTGTGTTCATATCGCGACATGCGAAGCGAGAGCAGCTGGCAAATTTATAAAAGCCGAATTTTGTTTATTATCACATAAATTTTTATAATCTAAAAATGTCAAAAATTCAAAGCGTTATCAACAGTAATAAAAAATACGTTCATAATAGCCGATAAGTGGTAGCAAAATGTGAGTAAATTGAAATATTAAACAAGATTAGCAGTTATCAAACGTTTTAAATGGCACGTGTTAAGAACAATGCAATGGACATCATTCAAGTAGAAAAAACTCTGAAATAATTATATTTTTTGCCTAATTCAAATAATTACTCATTACTTTGCTAAAATATAATTATGTGAATGTTTATTTAAAAAAGAAGACATTTTTTTAAATATTCAATATGTACATTTTTCAGCTCAATTTATTTACAATTAACATAAGTTGACAGAATTTCATTTGAAATGTTTGCAGTGAAGACTAATTTTTATTGTTTTTTTTACTGTATTGTTCTGATAGGATTAAAAGTCCGCATTTAGTAAAGCTTTTAATCAGTTCCATATTTTGACGTAAGAAAACAATTCAGTTGATTTTATTTCCAAATACTGTTTAAACACGTAACGTTTAACTTTGAAACGGTAACTGATTCCTCGGCATTCTCGAATGCGGTGAATAATTGAATTTTATTGTATGGCTCAGCCGGAAAAACTAGATTAGTAAATACATTTAAACCGCCGTCCACAAATTTTTCAACAGACGATGTATCCAAAATCACCTTTCCACTAAATATATTGCTGTTGCTAATTCGTGGTTCCTTTTTGACCAATTTTGAACTAAATGAAAAATTTCCAGAGTTTGTACGGTCGAATTCAATTGAATTGTCACTAAAATCGTAACGGAACGCTATGAATTCATCAAAACTATTGCTGAATCTTATACTCAAATTTCCCTGCGTGACATTTCCAATGTCGTATTCAAAATCTAGTATATACGCTGATGCTAATACAAATGGAATTTCTTCGGTTAAATCAATAGTTTTGAAGCCACTTACTTTCATTGGTTTTGACAATGACCAAGTTCTTAATGGATCAATTAAATTATTGAGCTCGCGAATCGGCTGTTGAACAAGATAAATTTGTCCATGAATTGTCTTAAGCGTTAATTCACGTGGAATCGTATACTGTCCACGCCACGTTGATGTTGGTATCTTGTCTGAATACAACCAATTTGACATCCAGCCAATTAGTATAATTCGGCCGAGTGGATCATTAATATAAGGAACACTTGCATAGTTATCAAAACCATTGTCAAGTAACGCCACTTTTGATTGATTGTAGCTATTGAAATGACTTTCAGTAAACTTTCCTACGAAATATTGAGCAAAACATCCTTCAGGTGCAAGTACAGAAACAATCAATACATCATGTTCGTTTCCTTGTTCATCTTTCAATGTTACCATTGATGGACATTCCCATACACCAGATTTATCGCCCTCGTCCGGGTTCACACCAAAATCAAATTCGTCTTTCCATGTTTTGAGATCGGTACTAGAGTAAAAACGGATTCGATCACCTAGATCTAAGGTCATGTAAAACTGGCCATTACGTTGAAAAACCATCGGATCACGAAAATCAACAATTCCAGGAATTCGAATGATTGGATTGTTAACATATTGTGTCCATGTTGTTCCTGCGTCGAATGAATAGGCCATTCCTTCTGATTGTTCGGTTCCGTTTAATTCTTTTAGTGTGAATATTGCAATCAGTGTATCTTCTGTTTGATCAGTGTTGTTGCTTCTATCTGATAAAAATCCAGCAACATTACTTTTATCAATAACGCAACATCCACTAAATATCATCCATTTGTCGTAGGGTTCCAATGCTATTGGCATATTCTCCCAATGAATTAAATCTTTTGATCGAGCATGACCCCAGTGCATAGGACCCCATACAATGTCATTTGGATAAAATTGATAAAATAGATGATAATATCCACCAGCGTAAATCAAACCATTCGGATCGTTTGACCAGGCCGATTTGACAGAATAATGTACTTGAAGACGATATTGTTCATCGTAATTTTGTCCATTTACAGCCACCAAAAAAATAATGCAGAAAACAAGTGAATTCAACATTTTCGATTTTTTTTTTCAATTATTTCTTGTTTTGCAATCAACTTAACACGAAAATGAACTGATAAATATTTTGCCGAATGTTCGGTTTATATTCTTTAATTTTGTTTACTTTTGAGGATAGATTTATTGGTTTATAGCATTTTAACTGCTTCGCAGCAGTTTTCTCCGGTTGCGGCCATGTCGATGCCAAAAGTCTTATCATAGTTAGCAAGCATATAATAAAAATGAAAGACGCATAAGATGAATAAGATAAAAAATTACGCAAGCCACCTGTCTCGCATGTAAACCGAACTTTCGGGAATAAATTGGAACTATGGTTATTATAACATACTTCTATCAAGCAAACGCCGACATTTACTATGAATATATAATGTTTTTGGTTTAACTATATCATCAACGCTCCTCCTCAAAACCATTTATTATAAAGTATTTTTGGTATTTTCATTTTAAAGAAAAATCCATCCCAAAAACAGTTTTTTTCTTTAAATTATTAATACCACCATGCATATCCAAAATAGAGAGTTATTTATGTTCGAAGACATTATTCACTCGAAAATCCACTTCGTAACAACCATATTCATATTTCAATTCTACACGGTTGTGAATGTCAAAAGCTTCATTGTGAATGTTACACAAAATGACAGTTTCTTTATCCGCAAATTGAAACAAACCAAATAACTGTCAAATGTCATCTGTGTTTCAAGTTGTATTCGTGTATTTATACATCCATTGCATTTAACATAAAAGATAATATTTTCGATATTTCATCGAAATGATGCATTTGAATACTGTGATCTAATTTAACTTTTGTACATGATAGCATTCATTTGGTCCGATTGTATAATTTTGATTGACATACGATAACGTGAGACAACTATTTACAAAACATAAACATCGAATCGATTTTTTTTTAAAGAATACAGTTTTATTTAATGCCGAAAAACCATGAATCGATTGCATTGGTTGAGTGGATTGCAAAAGGTAGGAGTTTTTTTTATAAAACAAAGTGACGACTGACTCAGTAAAATACAAGAGAAAAGACCGCATATGACATTATTTACATTCTGACCTTGACTATGTGCCATATATGAATGGATTTAAAATGCCATCTATCGCTCAAATGGCGAATTAATCAAAATGAACAACATGCATAGTGCTCAATCTTTAGAAAAGAAACAATTATAAAATGAAATGGATTTGAAATAGATAAATGTAAATCATAAGCGAAACATTCCACTCAAAGTGGTGAAATATGCGAATACTGTAATATTACAGTACTATTCGTTAACACGTTTTTGTCAATGTAATGCGTAAATTTCATGTATATTCTATCTCATTCTTATGCTATGTATGCTTAATTTATCCATTTCGTATCCAAAACAATAGCTGAAACGTGCTCGCATGTCCAGCTTGTGTGAAAACACATACACTCTCAGCGGCACAAATCATCGAAAACAAACACTTGTTAGGTATTGTTGTTTGAATGATATTCACTAAAACTGGTGTGCATTTTGTGCCTATGTCTGCTATTTGATCAGTTTTTTCGCTAAACTTTGATTTATTCTGACATCACTTTTCAGTGTGTTGCGATAGCTTGCTTACATCGTGACGATAAAATATATCGGTATCGTGTTTTATATGTGACATATTGTGTGAATTGAATTCTACGGTGAGTGAATGAAGTGCCACTTGAATTTTTGCATTCAAAAGTAATTTCGCTGCAATGAATTGAAGCCAATTTTTTATGAAATCAAACAATTTTTTGTTGGTAACATTATATTTGATTAATTCACATTTCCGCATCGTCCACACCATGCAATATTGAGTTTTGTGTTGGAAACTTGACAATGCTGATACTTGGTTTTGGCATATTTGTTACCAAGAGCCGGGTTTTACGACACGTGCGTAAACTGAAGACAATACTCAGATATAGTAATCGCGATTTGATGTTCGTTCAATTTAATTAATATTCAATATGTTACAGAAAGGCCAATGGTCACTGGATTTAGTGGCGAAAACAACAAAAAATGTGTAAATTTTAATTAGGTTGCCTATCGGAAATGTAACGTAGTTTTTAATACCGAAATTTTTCTTTACAACAACTGAACGTCGCCGTTTTGAGTTCAAAGATCTACTTTTCTTGACATTAATTACCGTAGTCCAGTGTCTTTTAGAATGAACGCCATGAAAGACAAATATTTTGTTTCTAAGATAGAGAAAGCAAATGCAAATCATAAAAATCGAATCATCAGACGAACGTTTTAAATTGTGTTATCAATTTTTTTTGTTTCATGGAAAATATCAGCCGAAGCAAATGCAAATCAAAGCAAAAAGAATGTCGTTATAACGCAACACTTGTTAGCACTACAAAATCAAGTAATCATTAATTTTGCGATAGAAATTTGTTCACGATCCCAAAATGTATTCGATGGGGGGCAATATTGCGACTTTTTTTTTCTGCATCGTTTGAATTATCTCTTGCGTCATTTCGTCCACGGAATTTTATTCAAAACATGTAGTAGATGTAAATATAGAAGCAAATATCGTAAGAGAGAGAATTGATTTGGAGCAATCACACCATGATACGATGTACCTAAATTAAACAATATTTTCACATGGAATGCTCACCAGCAAGGCTCATTTGGATTGACGTTTGATTTTTTTCTTGTTTTGATAACGCATCATTGAGTTGAGAGCAATAATAAAAACAATTTCAAGTAGAATTGTCGACACAATTGGAAACGGTTTAAAGAATGCAAATGAAATACATAAATTTGAATAATATTTATTCAATTTCACGAGCTCTTGATAACATTTAGCGATTGTGTGTTTACATATTTTCTATTATCGTCAGCTCACACGCAAAGATGATTTTAATCAAAGCCGTTTTTGTTTTTTAATAATCCCATTGTAGATGATATAACAATATCGAACTGGTAATTGAACATTTTATCGAACTGGTAAAATTCACATGATGTCTTTTGTTGACATTTCCATCTGATTGTTTGAAACGTCTGTTTAAATATTCATTATTCACGGTCTATTACATCGTACCGTCGAATAATTCAAAATACCCCCAGTCCAGCGATAAGTGTATTGTAGCATGTGCATTGACTCGAGATTCAGACGTGTTATCAATCATTCAGCAATATTTTCCACAGATTTTGTTTTTACTTTATTTTAAAAATAAAATAAATCTAACCTTTGATGACTTGTGCACCATTATTGATGTTATTGTTGTGCTCAACAAATCAATTATTTGTTTGAAGGAAAAATGACGATAATTGGTTCGTTCATGTGATGTAATAAATCACATGAAATTTTAAGCCAACAATAATATTGGATTCGCCAGAAATATTATTGATCTCTATTCAATTTTGAATTTTCATTTTAAAACGGTTCAATTTTTTTCAATTTTGAAAAATAAAATAAAAAGAATTTTCCATTCATGTTTTTGCTCCATTTTGATTGATTGATTTATTGATAGTCATTAAAAAAAATTCCATTCACTGGAGGTAATTGTAACCTAATTTTTAATCGACATATAATGTCTCGAAAATAATTTTTCTTGTAAATTTTTCTCATAAGTTTTCCATGACTGACTTTTTTCGAAACGAATTTCTGTTCATATGTGTCATGGTAATTCGTTCGGTTTCATCAAATTTGATATAAAAATCGACAAAAACGTGTTTGAAACTAACACGAGGCACACTTAGACGAAGAAATTGGCCGATTGATTGACGAATTATATTGTCCGAAATAGCAAAAAAAAAAAAATAACAACATGACGACTTAACATTCTTATTTGTGATTTGATTTATGTGACGTTGTTTGTAATCTTTTATATTCTTTCCTCATTGATTTTGCGTTAATTCATGGATTGTCTGGGTTATCTTCCTTGCATCTCACCGCAAATGTGCTACATTCGTTGAATTTTGCCACATTTAAATAGTCAATTGTGGTGAGCGTACGGCACGAGCAGAGAGTAAAAAGCACAGCCACCAATACGAATATTATCAGTCTATTCGAACGTCTCCAGTCGTCGACATCGCTACTAAACGAGGATCAACTAAATAAAATCAATTCACAATTCATCGAAAAACACACCAAAGAACAATTTTACTTAAAACAGTACAAGCGACTTTTCCACAATTTGTCTTCCAATTATAATAATTTATTGCGTTCGAGGAATAGTCATATTTTTAAATTTAGTGCTTTAAAGCGATCAATTTATAGCAAAATGAAAGATTTAGTCAACGGAAATAAATTAATCGAAAATAAAAGCGAATTGATTTTAGATCAAAAAATTTCATACAGCAATGGCAGCAGGTAATTGATATGAATTGGCTATCGAGTGGTGTGATTCAATTTTTGGCTTCAATTGAGTTATTGAAAAAAAAATAAAAATATTTGCAATTTTTTTCAATAGAAAATGTTCGTATTTGATTTTGTGTTAAATTTACATTTTACAGTAAAACAAAAATGGCAAAATTAATCAGTGGCGTGGAGATTGCAAAAGAAATCAGACAGGAGCTCAAACAACACATCATCGAATGGGAAAATGAAGGCCACCGAGCACCACATCTAACAGCTGTTTTGATTGGTGACGATCCAGCCAGTCATACGTATGTCAACAATAAGATTAAGGTTTGTTATTCAGTGAATTTAATATTGAAAATTGTCATTTATTCTGTGCTTCACACAAATTAATCAAATTGATATATTCATTATTTACTAATAGGCTGCAGCTGAGGTGGGCATTACGAGTGAGACAAAACGTTTTCCTTCTACAATCACTGAAGCAGAACTGTTGAACTTGATTACCGCATTGAACGAAGATGATCATGTCGATGGTATTTTGGTGCAATTACCGTTGCCAACCCACATCAACGAGCGTGTAATTTGTGATGCCGTTTGTTGTAACAAAGATGTTGACGGTTTCAATGAGAAAAATGTTGGCCGTTTGTGTTTGGACATAAATTCATTGATTCCATGCACTGCATTGGGTGTACAAGAGCTGATTAAACGATCAAACATTGACACATTTGGCAAAAATGCGGTTGTTGTTGGTCGTTCAAAGAATGTTGGATTGCCGATATTCATGTTGTTACATGCGGATGGAAGGTATGAGTACAATTTAGTCGATAAATTTTTTAAATAAATTTATTTGAGTAATTCCCTGAATTTCTTTTTATTATAATTTTAATTAAAGAAATGAAACCGCAGCAATGGATGCCACAGTGACAATGTGCCATCGATTCACACCACCAGAACAATTGAAAGTATTTTGTCGTCACGCTGATATCATTGTTTCGGCCACTGGTGTTCCAAATCTCATTACAGCCGATATGGTGAAGGAGGGAGCTGCTGTTATTGACGTTGGCATTACACGTGTCATAGACCCAACAACTGGCAAATCAAAACTTGTCGGTGATGTCGATTTTGAAGGTAACATTTTGATGCCTTTTGGATTTTAGATTTTTATTGAAATATTCCCGTGTTATTATATCTCTATTTTCTAATTACAGGAGTAAGCAAAGTGGCTGGCCACATAACACCAGTTCCGGGAGGTGTTGGTCCGATGACAGTTACCATGTTGATGCGTAACACATTTGTTGCTGCAAAAAATCTAGCGAAACTACGCGAAAGTCGAAATGGACACGCTGAAAAATAAGTGCCCGATTCAAGATGATAAATTTTTTATTGTTTATATCACAATAGCGTTAGAATTAATAATTTCAAAAACATGCTGAGCATTGTAAATTTATTGAAACTTTAACTCACTTTTTTCAAGTGAACAAAAGTATTTTAGCATTTAGGTCAACTATCTCCATTACATTTGTATGTATTTTTTTAAAAATAAAAACGATTTACTTGAATTGACATGAAATAAATCCGAATAAATCTTACAAAATGCACTTGCTTTTGTATCTAGTTGCAGAAAAACGTAATTCCACCCGAATCCATTCGTTATCCACTCAATAAGTGGTGAGTGGAATCGAAATATTTTTCAAAGTGGAATCCAAAAAAAGGGTCCATGAATGAAAAAATTAAATGGGGAGCACTTATGGGGAAAATAAAAAATACGTCTGGAGGTTTTTTCATGCCCTATCGAATGCCGAAAACCCGAACTCTCTATCTTTTCTGGTTTTGTCTAAAATCACTGAACAAACATATATATAACTTTTGTTCAGGGCCCCAATAAGGCTCCCCCATTAAATACACACACACATGCAATTTAACATTTCTGGCGCCATAAAAGTGAAAAAAAACTGCCAAATTTATTGGGAATATTTCATAATGACACCATGGTGTCTTGCATAGTTGTTTTCATAATGTGATGCGATTGCATTTGGGCCAAAGTACAGGCGATCGCAGGTAAAAACTGAAAAAATGTGTGGAAATCGGTTGGTTCCAATGAATTTTCAAGAATACTTATTAATAATAATTTTCAAAAGAATAGACCTGTTTATTACACTTGATGATGTATCTTTTCAACTGTTCAGAGTTCAATAATAATAAAAAATACAAACAAAGACTAATTAAGTGTGTATATGATTCAATCTCCGGGAGATTTTTCATCCGGGTTTGGCCTAGAAAATCCGGGCGATCTGGCAGGCTTAAATTAAGGACATCTTTTCTACAAGTTTAAACTATTTTCCTAGGTAAATCAATATTAATTGATTCTTACAATTTAAGCAAAAGCAATTTTAATTCTTAACTGCACCAGTATAAATAGATAAATTTTACATGAACAAAATCAGTTCAAACTTAGCATACGTGTAAGATACATCAAAGAAGTTCTGTGTTGGTTCAACAAAATGTCACAAGTTTATAATAGTTTTTGGGTAAAATGTGTTCTGATTGTGTTTTTTGGAGTGTTGATGCAGGAGAACGCATCGTATGTGCTGATTGAAGGCGACAAAATGGACGAATCATCTGTAGGAAGTGTTCAAACACCACAAGTCGAAAATGTGCGTTCGAAGCGGACGATAATGAATAAGAAAAAGTTATGGAAATTTGGCGTTATCCCATACGAGATCGACATGACAGCTGGATTTGATTTCAATCAAATTGACGACATCAAGGCGGCAATGAAGCATTGGGAAGTTCTTACATGTATCATTTTTGTTGAAAGACATCAAATTGAGAATTTGGACTACATACGATTTACAAAAATTTTAGAATGTACTTGTTGTTCAGATATTGGCAATATAGGTGATCGTCAAGTTGTAGGGGTCACCAATTGCGGTGGCGTTGGTGGTATTATTCATGAGATAGGGCATGTAATTGGATTTCATCATGAATTTCAACGGCCTGATCGTGATGAGTATATTGAAATCATAGAAGATGAACCTTCCTACGAAGATCTTTTTCTTAGTCTTTTTTTCGACAGTCCTTCCAAAAAATTGTCACCAGGTGAGTTCGATACGCTTGGCGAACCATACGATTTTGACTCGATAATGCATGAGTATATTGAAACATTTACCGTTCAGCCGAAGGAAAGGAAAAATGGCATTGTGCCGAAAATGGGTCGAAATGAACGATTGAGTGCAATTGACATCAGGAAAACGAAGAAATTGTATAAATGCCCTGAATGCGGAAAAACATATTCGGATAAAACAGGTGCATTCACTTCGCCCCAATACTACAATAATAATTCAATAAATCGCAAATACTATTGTGAATGGCGAATTAAAGCCATTAAAGGAGAACGGATTCTACTTGATATTACTGATTTAGATACATTCGACTCAAGTAATTGCCTAAACGATTATTTAGAAATTTATGACGGTTATTGGCATAAGTCGCCGCTTTTAGCTCGTTTCTGTGGTGCTGAAATCCCAGGACATATTGCTTCAAGTGAAAATCACATGTTCATCATATATGTTTCAAATCAAACAGAACATGAACATCGTGGTTTTGCTGCGAACTATGAAACTTTTCATGATTAAGATCATCACAATTTGTATACAAAACAAACTCGATAAACTCGGCAGAAACAAAGAGAAAAAGAGGCGAAAAAATTGGCGGGATGGTTTGATATCGAGGAAAAGAATCATCTGAAGACATACCCATTCGGTCCACTATCACCGCGTTCTATTCAACATGGAAATGATACATTGAGTATCGCATCAAAATGCTACGAAAAGGAATGTCAGCATATGCAACGCGCAAATATTCACGACTGGATTTTGATCATTACATGAAGTCGAACCAAGTAAATGATAACATCGCCGTGACAGTGACCAACAACGAGCCGTCAATAATTATATTTGGTGCATCGGAGATGCCACCCAATCGGCCATTTGGTTTGAAGAGATGGAAAAGATGTCCAGGATCTCGGAAATTTTTGGTGAGCGTCAAGAAACTTGGCCATTCAGTGGTGAACAAGCGGGGTTGGCGTATATGAGATTGGGAACTTTTTTATGCGAACGCAGCTGATCAGCGCCACCTCACATTAGTCGGAATTAGATCGGAAAACTGAATTTAATTCTGCAGCATTGAAATGAAAAAGAGAAAAAACAACAACAATAGTACGGCCACACAGAGCTGTACATCTATGCATGCTGATGCATACATACACATATACGCTTCCTTCATTCTTTCATTCCATTGTTATACGTATCTCACTAGTCAACAGATCTATGTAGCCATGTTACTGTTGTTGTTTTCTTTCTTTTTTTCGATTCAATGCAGTGCAACAAAATTGAGTTCAACTATGGAAAACAAGATGGCATAAATGAGGAGATTACGCATTCTGTCTCTTCATAGGCTTAGCCGGTTGGTGGTGAAAATGGAAGATGAATGGGGAACATCACAAACATGCGCGAATTGCCAAGAACGATTTCCAGCGAACACAAAACCCCATCGATTCAAAGTGTGCTACGGTTGCAAAGCGAAACCGATTGCTGGACTACCGGACTCAGTCGCTATAGCGGTAATTAATATTGTGTGTTTGTTGTTCAAATGACATGCTTATGAATTTGTGCAAATTTCAGTGGGACATATGTTATGTGTAAAATATGCGCATACGTATTAAAATTATTGTTTTGCGACAATTTTAAAAACAAATTTAAACATTTTTAAAAATAAATTCTAAGAATTAATTTCTAGAAATTTTTATATAAAAATTATTTACACAGAAATTAATTTCACTAAAAATGTATAATTGTAAAAATAAATCCTAGGAATTAATTCGGAATCTGTTTCTAGCAACAGAATTTTTTTCTAAATTTCTAAGTAGAAATTGTTTCACCAGAAATTAAAGGATCCTACCTTTACGGTGCACCAAGCGGATGACACATATATGAGTTCGGAGACTTTTTGTTGCGAAACGCCGCTGATAAGCGCCATCTGACATTAGTTAGAATTAGATCGAAAAACTCAATTTATTTCTGAAGCATTGAAATGAAAAAGAGCAAAAAACAACAAAAATTGCACGGTCGCACAGAGCTGTACATCTGTGCGTGCTGATACACGCATACACATATACGCTCTCTTCATTCTTTCATTCCCCTCTTATACGTATCTCACTGGTCAACAGTTCTGTGTAGTGGTGTTATTGTTGTTGTTTTTTCTCCTCTTTCGTTTCAAATGTCCCCGTGCCATGTAAAGTCTATGATGGCGCTGATCAGCGGTGTTCGCATTTTGTCTCTTCATAATACGGCCCGCTTGCGGTGCACTTCTTCAAATTTCGTTATTTTTGCGATTTTCCAATCGAAAAAGCAAGAAAAATCAAAAAGTATATTTTTCGCCCACATATATACCATTTTTTTTGTTTTCAATTTAACCAAATCTGCAATGCTAATAAATAAAGTTGCATGATTCAAGTCGTCTGAAAATAATTGCATCGGTTAACTAAACCATTTCTTGCAATGTCAGCGTTGTATGTTTGACTTTGCCACTCGTTTTCGTTATATTCATATATTCATTTGTTTTCATTTGTTAATTTTTTATAAATTTATGTAAAAATGTCCAACCGCGATTCATTGGAGTATCTCCAAGTTCGAATCAGAAAACAAGGAGATACAGTTGAATCTAGGGGATATTCGTAGCAACTCTAGTAAGCTAGTTTTATTTACGTATTCGCTAATCGCTTACTATTTGCTTTGGACTATAATACGCTAGTGCTTGCTAGTCGCTGCTAATTGCTGCTAGTTTCACTAGTTTTTCTAGTATGAATGTCCCCTAGAGTTGAATCTTCTAAACGACGAAAGGAAAAAATACAAGCAATTGTGAAAAAACATGCAGACAAACTGAACAAATTGAAGGGCGAATTAACTTATTTGCAGTATGATGCCAATGAAGCTATTCGTGGTCCAGAACTGAAAATTGACACAAATAAAAAAAAAAATTGGTGAAATCGAAGACAAGGAGAAAAAATTAGAGTTCGAAATGAAAAAATTAGAGCTCGAATTGGAAAAATCGACGAGGACTGGTATACCAGAAAACACGGAAGAAATTCACATTCCTAAATGACCTGATGTTCGAGGACATGGATGCTGGCATACTCAGCGTAAAGCTTCCGGGCTACAAAACCTTTCACACTAGCGGAGTCGTAAAGGTTATTTGCGACGATGCTTTTGCACGAACATGGCTAGAGGGCGTGGCAAGTAGACTCAGCGCAATGATGGGTTTTACACTTACAGTCTGTTCCATAGTAGAGGCCGGTTGATTTTTCATATTAAAACTCAAAAGTTTTACAAAATTATTTTATATTCATTTTATTCGAGTTCTAAGCTACGGCGCCAATAATCAATATTTAATCCATTCACCATCCTTTTCGATCACACGGGCAAATCTTTTCGGCATACTTTTGCTCAAATTTTCAGCATATTCACGTTGAAAACCCTTCCCCTGCCGTTGTATGAACGCACTGAGCTACTTCAAATTGTGGTGTGATTTACCACGAAGCCTTGCCTTAATAATAGCCCAAACATTTTCGATCGGATTGCAATCGGGTGACTGTGGTGGCCAGATCATTTGTTTTATCCCATTTTCCTCTTTCCAAGCGGTGCAGAGACGACTTTTGTGTTTTGGATCGTTGTCTTCTAATAGAAGCCAATTCGAATCTATAGAACTTCTTGGCAGTGGGTAACAGTGTCGACGAATAAAGTTGGTTCATCCTCATGGCGTTTAGAATGCCTGCACAGAAAGAAAATATCAGCCGACGCTATACGCAAAACCGACTGGTACGTGCGCTTATACGTTTTTACATCTTTTACATCTATTACCATACGATTTTTCGACTGTGCAAAGATACGCACAAAGAGTAACGAATCAGTCGAAAAATCGTATGGTCACTAGATGTAAAAGATGTAAAAACGTATGAGCGCACGTACCAGTCGGTTTTGCGTATAGCGTCGGCTGATATTTTCTTACTGTGTGTGAATAGGGTCAACTTTCCAAAACCAGCTTCACAGAAGCAACCATAAACATGCACCTTTTTCGGATGCTTTACAGTGCGAACGACCACTCTCTTTTCGGCTCTAGACTAGGCATGGGTAGTGCTATTCACCAGCCAAAAGAATGACTCGTCAGTGTATATAACTTCGATCCAATCTCTTGTTGAATTTTGGTTTGCGCAGTCAATGCGTTTTTCTTCTGGTTTTCTGTCGAAAGTGATTTCTTCACTGTACTGCGATAATGAACACCGGCAACATCCAATCTTCTTTTGAGCGTGGTCTTCGAGACGTCTATTTTAAGACGCCGTAGCCTTTTAACGCCTTGGCGCAACGTCATACCTGGATTTTCATCGAACAACTTGACTATCCGTTTATCTTGCTTTGGCGAGGTGGCTCGGTTTGGCTTCACATTGGGCTGATCGTTCACATTTCTTTCACTGTTATAATGGTCAATCCAGTGCTTGACGAACCGTTCTGACTTTTTAATGTATTTAGCAATTGATGCGATTGACATTCTTGGTCCTTTTGGATGTAAATGCAAAAACACCGCTTCAAAACGCTTATGAAAATATTCCGAATCCATATTTTCGTTGCACAACAAACACTGTAGTGATTTGAGAACTGTCAATGTTAATTGGCGCATTAGCTTAGAGTGCCATCTGGCGACACCAAAAATATTTTCAAGATATTTGAAACTTTTTGTGGTTAAATCAACCGGCCTCTACTATGGAACAGACTGTATATTGAGTGAGAAGAGAGTGTGTAATGGTATTGGTAATGCTATCACTGCTGTCATTGCATTCCAGTGGAAGTAATGTTTGTATTTTGATATTTGAACGTTTTTGACGTTTATAGCATTCGTCAGTTGTGTCAAAATACAACAGAACAACAATTGCTGTTGCAACAGCTAATTCATTTTTTTTTGTATACGTTCATTTTTTTCAAAATGTCAAAAGTAAATAAAATCGAAAACTATCCATCAGTGGAAAAATTTATTATATGAGAAGAGTGTGAGAAGGGAGTCGAATAAAACTATACGAAGAGTGTGAGAAGAGTGTGTACACTCTTCGAAAAGTGTATTATACTGACTTGGATAGTCTACCAGATATAATTGTAGCAACGGCTAAAGGAAAGAAAGGGACGAAAGGAAATTAAGCTTCGAATTCGCAATGGCAATTTTCAGGATGTGGCGAGAATACTTCGGATTGGGCGTTTAATGTCAAAGGTTAATGTTACCTACAAAAATTGGCCATTAAATGTTCAGGGTGATGTTGCTGCTCCACAGACCGTTGTTTGGCACCGCGATATTGTTGCTGCTAAATGTATTATGCTCAAAGGTATGAATCAATTGAAAATAGAGTCTATTCATTGTTTAATGTTTTTGCTTCTAATTACACAGAACTTTGTCGGGTGTTTGGCGTACTAGTGCCTGATTCGTTGAGAAGACCACCAAACAATGTCAACTGACAAGCAGCAGCATTGAATCCATAAATTATCAAATAAAACAAATAATATAACGATTAGTTAGCTTAGGTAGGCTTGACACCATTTGTGTTACACAAATCTTGTGGCCTTGTTGTGCGTTCATAAGAACAGTACAACGGTAGTATGGAGGGAAGGAGTCCGTAGGTGAGTAAAGTTTTTAATTTAAAAAAATGATATTTCATATACAATTCAATTGATACTAATGATTGTCGTTTCTCTTTTCCATGTATTCACGCCTGAATGTTACGCTATGGCAACCGTAAAAATAACTGAAACTACCCACTAATTCGGGTCCAAATTTTACCGTGAATTTGTGCCTGGTAATGGGTGAATTTGTATTACAAATTGTTCATTGAGTAGCAGCAGGCCATGACTTTGTAAAGAGATCCTTAAAAAGTCCATGTGATGTGAACTCCATCAGTGAAAGAACTTCAATTTGAAATTGTTCCTTCAAAGAACATAATTCCCTCATTCATAATGACTTGCTCTCAAAATATTTTCTGACGAAAAAACGAATAAAAGTGTTGTTTTCAGTTTTGAAAACTGCTTCAATTTATCCATTCAAAATAAATACGTTTGACATAAATTTAAAAAATTATATTGCAATTATGCCTTTCAATATCTGTTTATAATGTTGGTTTGTTATACATAAACAAAAGATCTATTGTTTATATCTCACTCTGTAGCTAAATTCCATAATTTTTGAAAAATTCTCATTTAATTTAATATAAAACCGAATTGTGTTTGTTTGTCTTACAACATTGTGAATGCCTGAAAATTTATGAACAAATGACTCGCCTTAAATATTTTTTATTGAGTTAGAAAACGAAACTAATTTCACAAACCATAACAACAAATCCAAGCGAATTTAACCAATGTTGATTTTGTTGTCGTTTTCGAAACTGATGCAAATGAGAAAGAAGGTTTTCCATTTTGAGATATCGTCTATCAAGAGCTGCGATGTCCGAGTGGTTAAGGAGATGGACTCGAATAAATTCAAATTCTTGAAATCCATTGGGCTCTGCCCGCACAGGTTCAAATCCTGTTCGCAGCGAATTCTTTTTTTTGGAGAAATGTATAGAAAAATGTAACCTTTCTTTTGAATGAAGTACGTGATTATTCTTTTGAATGAAGTAGCGTTGATTTATTTACGATTTTTTCTTCAATTAAAACATTTTTTCTAAACCAAAACTTATTATTGGTTATGTAAAAATATGATTAAAATCCAAAAAACATCAGAAAATAAAACAATATTCCAAGTAAAACTACAGAGCTGCGATGTCCGAGTGGTTAAGGAGATGGACTTGAAATCCATTGGGCTCTGCCCGCACAGGTTCAAATCCTGTTCGCAGCGAATTCTTTTTTTTATGCCAATGTCGTAAAAATTACATTTTGGCATCAATATTCGATACTTTTCTGAAGATCCAATGAAAAACAAACCAACAAAAAATTGTTTTACATTTTTTTAAAATTGATTTTCATAGAAAAATGTGTGCGAACAACAACTTCTGCGAATAACATTCAAATGAACACTTTTTAATTACACGTTTGTAGACTCTTTCTTTTCAGAGAGACTTTGATCAAAATATTCGCAAGGAAAATGAGTTTTCTATAAAATTATGCTAACGAAATAAATGTAATCGCCAAAGTGATTCGAAAAGAAATCAAATTAATTAAATTACAAACCAAAAAATAAACAACTGAATGAAAAATGGATTGGCGTTCTCCACAATAATATTTCCATCAAGTTTTTTAGAATGCGTTTCCAAATAACTCAGTATACTATGGAGCAGAACATAACATACAACTACAAATGAATTTCCGATGTTGATGTACACCGACGATAAATGTGTTTGTGCAATGTTTGAATGACTAATTTGATTTGCAGCAAGAGTGACGCGTACGCTTCTCTCAGTTCATCGCATGAACGGTGATAATATATAATAGTGTATTGGTTTGCATTGTTGTACGCAGCAACAACAGATACAATATACGTATAAGATTGCACGCATACACACACATTGTACGGAATCAAAGTGCTATGAGAATTTGTAAACTTCTAATAGCGTTTCAGTTGGAATTCGTTCTCAATAGAGAAACATCTGGGAAATAAGAGGTCACACTATTTGTGAGTGAGTGATTTTTACCATCTTTTTCTTTTACCATCGAACATCACTCGTTGTAATTGAGTCTACATAATAACATCAATGGCTGACTCCGAAAAAGTCCAAGACCAACAACCGTTGAAGCAAAAAATCCAAAACCACTCGGATGGAGTTAATGGCGAATCAACACCAGACTCCGTTATTCAACAAAAACAAACGATCGGTAAGTGTTAAAAAAACAGAATCACAGACACGTTGTCTATCAAATGATTTATTTACTTTTGTTTTGACTGGATACTTGTAAAAGTCATTTTTTTGTCTTTAAAACAATTTTTTTTTTGACAAAATTATGTCGCCGCAAAAAAAATTGTACACAATCGATAAGCGCCGAGTGAAAAATCTAATTAAATTAAAAAAGAAATATTCATTGTTTTGCCGAATGCGTCTCCGGTATGCTTGCACTACATACATGTAATTGGCAATGTCTGTGACAACTGGCAATGTCTGTGTTTGTGACTAGATTTCATTCACCTTTTTCGCGAATCATTTGCTATCATGCCATTTTTAATGCTTTCAACTCATCCAAGCTTCCGATGGATTATGAAATGCAAACAAGATATTTTATACATCATAACTGATAGTCGTAATGGTTGCATTTTTGTTTTCTTCATAAATTTTACAAATGCATTGATGAATAAAAATAATTGGCAAGAATAGAACATGCATAAAAGTATCGAAGCCATTTTGTTTGTATAATTAATACCATATATGTGTGGAGCAAGCGAATAAAAAAAGAGATTCGAGTCAAACAACCAAGCAAAGTGAAAAAAAACAACACAGCAGATATACATAGTGAACGCGAAGTACGCGTTCATTGTCTGTGTATGTACGCATGAGCGGTATTGCGCACGGCTTACATGCTCTCTTTGTTTTCAATATAAACGGGTTTTCAATGTTAAACGCTTCTTCTTATTCCATTTATATACTGCTGAGTAAGGAATGAGAATAAAATAAACAACAAACCACTATAACAGCGGCTAGTATATTTTGTTTATGTTTTCGCGTCATTCGTTCGCCGTAATATGTTGCTTGTTTGCCGGCAAATATTTTTTTGTTTTAATAAAAAGCATCGTTCGACTCATTTGATGGGGTGCATTTCATTTAATTAATTTATTTTTTTGCGTTTGTTCTCTTTTTTTTTAAATAGCCGAAAAAGTCACCGGAACTGTCAAATGGTTCAATGTAAAAAGTGGCTATGGTTTCATTAACCGCAATGATACCAAAGAAGATGTATTCGTACATCAAACGGCTATCATAAAAAACAATCCAAAGAAAGCGGTTCGATCGGTTGGTGACGGTGAGGTGGTTGAATTCGACGTCGTCTTGGGCGACAAAGGGAATGAAGCGGCCAATGTAACTGGTGTCGGCGGCGAACCAGTTCAAGGTAGCCCATTTGCTGCGGATAAACGACGTGGATTCCGTTTGTGGCGACAAAGAGCACGTCGTCGCACACAAAAGTCCGAAGGTAGTGCCAACGAAAATGGCACAAATGACGAGAATCCGGAAGGAAATGGTGAAGAAGGAAAGGTACTTAATATCAATAACAACAATTACTATCAATACAAATGAGAAAATACTCAATGGATTTGGTTTGATTTCTGTCTATTTTTGGTTTCGTAAAAGAAGCGACGCTTCAGACCACGTCGCAATCGTTTTGGTCGTAACAGAGGTCAACGATCACAAGGACAAGATGCTGAAGAGTCGGGTGAAGGTGGTGAAACGACCGGTGATGATGGTGGTCCACGGAGTGGAAATTCGGTTGGAAGACGTAGACGTTTTTTCAAGCGTAATTTCCGTCAACGTAAGCCCGGCAACGAGAATGCCGGTGATGGCGATCAAAAAGACGGCGAAAATGGTTCGAACGGCAATGCTGCCCGTCGGCCAAGAAAGACACGTTTCCGTGATCGCCCACGCAATCGACCAAATAAAAATCGCAGCGGCGATCAGGTAATAAACAAAACAAAAAACATTCATAAAATGCAAAATCATAACCGAAATATTTGATTCATTCCAGAACGGTGGAGAGGCTCAACAAAATGAATGAATAAACAAAAATCGAGAGAAATCGATTTGATGACAAACAAAAACTGCATCAAAATCGCATTCTGGTCAACGATCCAAACCAGATTCCAATTTCTTCTCATTTCAATGAATGCAATACTGAAGCAAAACCAACAAAAAAATGAACAAAAAAAAGATTGATTAGAGTGTGAAGTGTGTGTGCTAAAATATCCAACTCAATTGCATTCAATGAATTTCAAGATATTCTCTAGTTTAAGACACCTCCTTGAACCATCTTAACAGAATGGTATCTTCAAAAAAATCTCACCCAGTGACTAATAAAATTGTGTGAAATGTTATTAATATAATTTCACTCATAAGGGCAGCTCTGTCGCGTTTATTTAAAACAAAAAAACACATTTCATTGTTTTTGTGATTCGAAATTATTTCATTCCATTTATTATTGTGATCAAAATTATTATTACTATTTTTTATTTTTAGACAATTAATTTTTGGTTTTTATTTTCATTGACGTTTTGGTTTTTCAGTCCAGTGTTTGCCCCGATGAAATTGATGTTAATTTTATGTTCTTTTTTGTTTTAAAATTTGATAATAAATTTAATTAAAATTTCGACAATTGCAACCTTTCGACGGCAATCGCGCTCCCTTATTAACTTTAAGTTTATTATTTTATTCTCATTTTTGCTAAAAACACACACTCACGAGATCATCACAATTGAGTGAGGAATTCGTTTCAATGTACGCATTAGTAACAAACATTTGATGTATAAGTAACGCTACATTTCAAATCGATCGCAATAAAATCAAATTCAAACATCCTCGCGAATACGAAACACTATAACAGCTGAAATAATCATTAAAAATAATCATCATTCGAACAGCAACTAATTTTTTATAACATCATACAGCAGCAACTCAATAACACCACATTAAACAAGAACCAAACTACATTTTCTAATGTAACGTTAATTTCGAATCGACATTCAAAAAAACAAAACTCTTATGGCTATATTCATGCATTTGCGAAGAACAAACATCATGTTGCATGTTCATCGTGACCCATTCGATAATATAACGACCGTCAACATAAAAAGACACATACATTTGCAAACGAATCGACATAATAAAACAATTTTTTTGCATAAATTATTAAGAACACGGAAACGGAAACATCAACACACAAACATTTTCCACTTGAATTGAATAAGAACAAATACTAAACAAAAAAATGAAAACAATGAAATTCAATGTAACAACAGCAAATCGATTGATTGACTTAAATAAAAGGTAAAAAAAAAGACAAATACTAAAGAAAACAACACAGGAATAAAAACGTTTTTTGAAATAAAATTATATAGATTGAAACACAACAAAAAAAAAAAAATCGAAAAAAAAATCTCTGCATTTTTATTCATTTATGGTTTCATTACGATGACATTTTATTGCAGCATACATTTTTTTAAAGATTGGATTGGAAATGTTCTGATTAAGGAAGTTTTATATGCAAATTGTAAAGCGGCTTTTTGGGTGACGGTCATATGTAATTTTCAAATAATCATTAAAAATCAAAAGCAGTAACAAATCAAACGGTTCAAAACCCAACCAGTTCAAAAAGAAACCAGTACATGTATTTTGTTTCGATTCATAACATGATTTTTATCAAAACAGAATTATGTTGAATATTTTGTTCGAACTGACGAAATTTGACAAATCTCCGCATCCGAATGTCAAATGTCTGAATTCACCACTGTCAAATGTTAACTGACAAACCAATGTCACCAATGTTGTTATTTACTCGGTCTCATGTCTTCGTTTTCGGTGGTGTATTCTTCTTCTATGTCTTGTGTTCTTTCGGTGCAAGTTTCAAAAAAAGTGGTGATTAATAAAACCTGTTGCATATAAAATATCAAAAGTTCACATTTTTATTGTTTTTATTTCAAAATGATCGAATTTTATTCGGTAAAACTTTTTGTTTTGTGTCTGTGTGAAACAATTTTGTTGTATGTTTACGAACAAATAAAAGAAACGCAATGCAGTAGACGCGTCACTGCGTATAGATGCATGCATGCATTCCGCAGTACAGAGCTCGCATTTATTGACTCCAGTCATATGGCGTACAATTGAAAATATAATACAATAAAACGTGTTTTATTGTGTACTTTCTTCGTACAACGATAAAACTCAACGCAAATATGAAAAATCTGAATGAAATCAATTCTAAAATGGAATGTGAAGATGAATAATTACCAAAAACACTGAATCATTTAAAAAAATTGAACAAATTCCATTTAAAAAATATGTGTTTTCAAAACAAATTCGACTGTTGTTTTCATTCATTCATCCGTTGCTGTTGTTTGTATTCGGCATATGTAATGCATACAATCTTAAGTGCTACAGAACGATACGATCAGTACGCCATACACTGTAAATACATAAACGTGTGAAACAGCGTTTAAACTGAAATTTGTTGTCAAACGTGGTGCGATCCGTATGCAGTGTATCTTTAAACGGCGATATATAGAGTGGGCATCATACGGAACAGATTTCAGTATTTGCAAAATAGTCGTTGCTTACAGACGCCGTGCTTTGTGCGATACACAAACTCTGTGTGTGTAGTACATATATGAAGTGAATTTAGTATAATTCATATAGTCGCTTCAGTTGTTCAAATTTTTTTTTCGTTCTTCTTGAGTGATTTTGTTGTAATGAGAACATAAAATCGGAGCCGACTTTTTGACTGAAAAAGTCAAAGTGCATTCAATATAATCTGATCGAAAAACAGAGTTTTGTTTTTCATTCTTCACTGCCTAAAATTAAGTGCCTTTTTGTGTTAAGTAAGAGCCATTTCTTGTAAATCGATTTAACTACATAGTTCTACAAAATAATAGCAAAGCAAACAAAGGTGGTCAAACAATGAAGTGCTTTTTGTTTTAAAAATCTGTAAAATTATATGCAAACAGCTAGTATCAGCGATAAAATATTTGTTGAAACACATTGGTTCGCTAGTTTTCGATTCCATTCTTTGTTCGTTCATTTTTGTCTGTTTTGTTTTTTGTTGTTTCTTATTTCAATTTTGGTGGTTCTATTGCACTGTAGAGAAAAAAACAGATTCCAAATATTCACACAAAAAAGAATAATACACACACACACACACACAGCAAACAGCGTAATTTTGTGCGCATATTAAATTAAATTGTTACTTTATGACTATGATAATCCGATGCGATAAAAACCATTCGAAAAAAATGCGTAACTTATTGTGTTGCCGATCCAGAAAAATTAACGATTCAATTATCTATATTCATAATTTCGTGCTTCTATTTGAAAATAACATGAAGCTAAATGACTGACTTGATAACAATTGTTTTTACATAAAAATTAGCGAGTTTTGGTAGGGCTTTTTTTTTTTTGAATGATAAACGCGCTGTAAGAGTAATAGCAAATGAATTTTATTTGAACATAGATCTGTGTTTGTGTATTATAAACTTTATTGAACCCAATTCAAATCATCGCAATAGATAGAATAATAATTTCGAATTATGTGCTAGATTCATATTGAACGTGTAGTGAATGTTGATTAATTTTTTATGTGTTCGTTTGCAGAGGTATTAGGCATTGTGCATATTTCAATTCTAAAATCTACCGTAATGCCGAATAAAATCAATATTTACGTTTAAATTATTCAAACAATTTTTCATTGCGATGACACAATTTTCATGAATTCAGGTCTTTGCGCCTTTGTGCAATATTTTATCCATCCCAGGCCACCAATTCGAGATAGTTATAAACATAAATGCACATTCATTCATATAGGATAGGTTGAATGTGCTCGATTTATTGCCACTTTCGATTTGTTTTTCTTTTTTTTCGATCAACGATACATGCATGCACAATTCGATTATTATCGTTTTGTTCACCTTTCACGAGGCGCTTGCTTGCTGACTATATGTATGTTCATGTATGGTGCATATGAATTTTGCTGCATGTTTACCGATGCGACAACACGATGCGGAAACGCAAATGTATGTGCTTATGTATTGCATCACATGGGACCTTTGTATATCAGACAAATGAATCATATTTTGCCAGTTTATTTGAATATTGCGTCAATAAATGGACAGCGACTATAAAGTAGACAAAATGACTCGATTCTTGTTTTGGGTCAACGGCGATAATTCATTTGAGGCAATCTCATTACGGATTGAATACACAATCGAGTCGTTTGTAAAGAATGTCTTGGTTTTTAAACATTTAACGACGTGATAATAACTATGTTTGTTTTCTTCTGAGTCATTCTGGGGAATTTTTTTAACACTATTTCTCCATTTCACCACGCCTTGGAATGTAAAAATACAAAGTGTTCTTTTCGTTGAAATTTTCATTCAAGGACTTTGCAATACAATCATTGCATGTATAAAAATGGCTCAGAAAACAATGAGCTTGTTTGATACATATTCCAATGTCGTTTAGGGTCCACCATCATTTGCTGCGGCATGAACAAATGACTTTTTTCTTCCTCTCACATTCAATATGAAAAGATAAATTGTAAAAAATGCACTTCATATAATTATCTGTGGTATTTATTTATATTGTATGATAATAACAACATACTCATTTCTGAAAAGCCGATTCTTTAATTGGATTTTTTATTTCATATTTTCTTTCTGTTTCATTTTTTGATTTCATGACATGCGATTCAACGCTGGTTCGCTTCCGATGTTGTTTGATCGAGTAGTATAATAACAACGATAGATAATAATTATTTATTATATGTGTACGTAATCGAGGGAGACAAACACACACACAGAGTCAGCGAGAGATAGAGAGAGTATGCTCAACAATTATGCAATTAAAATTTTCGTGTACAACATGTGATGACAGCAACGGCAAATAAAATAAGTAAAACAGCGGCAAATAAAACGGTTTTATTTAATCAATGAATAACCTTGGTTGTATAAAGAAAACCGCGGTGCACACATTAAGATTACGGCGACACACAACAAATTTTATGATATACGCACATTTAAAATAAATTGTACATATATTATTCACTGAACGAAAAGAAAATAACTAAAAATATCGATGAAAAGTTTAGTGTTGACGAAAAAGTTGGCTTTAGCTGAATTTATGTGAAACCAAAAGTGAAACAAGAGAGAGAGAGAGCAAATTATTTTTTTTTACAAACAAGTGATAGCCGCTGAGTTAGTGAGTGTTTGAAGCGACATAAAACAAATCAAGAATCATACAAAATGACAGTAACATATACAGCTGAAGTGGCGACATGTAGGGGATTCGGATGCTTTTTAAAATTACTCTTCAGGTAAATTTATCCATGAATCATATGTAAATTCTGAACACAAAAATTCACTGGAAATAGAATGAATCATCATTGTGTTGTTCTCCAGTGTAATTGTGTATGAAACTGTTTAAGTTCGGTGTATTAGTTTTTTCGTCTGTTTATTCGATCGAAAAAATAGGGCATTCGCCTCTCTCAAGGTAGACGATTTTGGCACCGAAGGTACGCTGTACTCGATAAGATTACGCTATTTTATCGGCACGAGTATGAAAGATAGTGTGATGGATAGATTTGTTTTGAACGGAGACCCAATTGTTTCGGGATAAAATGCAAATAAATGCTTGGCCTTAAAATGTCGAGCAACGATTTTCCATGAAAAATTCAATGGAAGTTCTATCATTTTTGAGAGATTGGTATCTAATTGTTCTGTCACACTCCGTGCATTTCATATATGAAATCTGTAAATGATCAAGAATCTCAACAAAGCATGATCAAGCTTAGTTGCATGATCGTAAAACTACTGGAATTTTTTGTTAACTTAAAGATCAAAGTTTCAATGCTTTCAGTTTACCGGCCGGCATTCCGGCAGTGCAATAAATAAGCAATCGTTTTACTCCGATCACATTGAGCATGTTTACACTTCAATAAGCGCGTTAATCCAAAAAAAGTTTGTGTGAAATGTTCGATTGAATTTCATCGATAAATTGTTTGTCTAAAATTCGCATGTATTTTACCAAAGAAAAAAATCCGAAACTTTTTTTGCAAGCATTTTTCAATTAGCATTTCTTAAATAAACAAAAAGGCGTTAATTATACCTGTAAATCAACTGCGGCGGTGACTGCACAATGTGGGGTAACATTGAAACTTGATTCTTTAAACATTTTATAATCGTTACAAACTAGTCAATCGATCTCATATATTCTGAGTGTGAATGAACCAAAGTCAATTGAGTCAATTAATAGAATCTGGATGTTTGTTTTTTCGCTCAAGAAAAAAAGTTCAGGAAAATGTCAATTTAAATGTTTTTAAACCGGTTTTTTTTCGTTTTTTTATGATGAATTTCTGCAATACGATTTTATTCCGGTTTTACACGAGCCAATGTTTTATCAGATTGTTTCACTCAAAAAAAAGAGTTATTCTTTGTCAAGATCGCTGTTGAGAGTGTGCAAAGAGAACCGTATATGAATTAATCATCATTAATAAAACATATGTCCTATGATGTCATATTGACAGCAGTAAAGCGCTGTTTTTTTAGTGTATAGAACTTCAATAAACTCAACGTGAATAAATTGCGTCAAGTGCGGACAGAAATCTTTTGAACTTTACCTTCAATTGCATTAGATATCAAGAAAGGAAAAAACAATGGACACTTGTCCAACGTGTCAATAAGTTCCTTATATACAGTCTCCACTCATTTATACAGTTTCTTATATTTACCTTTCAATTGTTTTTTTTGTCTTTTGTTTGTTTGGTGATCTACATCATCAAGTCACATGGGTTGAAATAAAATTGCGATCAGCACATAATTCACATATTAACGTCAAAATAAAACGTACATGCGCACATCTTTCGCTTTTTATTTCGCAAAACTACGCAATGATTCATTTATTATTATTATCTTATCACAATCTTTTGATATAAGGAATTGTAACATATAAATATTCACCGAACTGTATGATTCAGAATATGAATTTTCCATGAAATACTGAAAACAAAGCGCAAAATATGTCGAGTCGACATTCCAGACATTTTTTCCAAGCATTGATCAGAGAAAATGAGTAATGTCATCACAACTATCATGCATGATCTTTTGAATAGATTTTTCGTTGTACATGCGGAATGAATTGAATCGTTGCGGCGAAACAGTAGCTCTTATTCTTCTCCAAATAATAATGCAACATAAAGTTTTTTATGAATAGTTTATTTGTTGTATTACAACAAATAAACCGTGTGAAAAAAACTTCATGTTGCAGTATTATTTGGAGAAAAATAAGAGCTACTGTTTCGCCGCAACGATTCAATTTTTGATGTATTTGTTCATCTCTATCGCATTTATAGCCCAATCTAAAGTAAGATTTTGAAGCAATTGCCAACAAAATGACAATATAATCACGTCATTTATGTTCTATTTGAATTTAGTATTTTTCTCTTTCTTTCTTTCTTTCGTTCATTCGGCAAAACGCAAAGCGTGAAAATTTTTGTTCTGTCTGCCAAGCATGCAATTTATTTGCGACTGCAATTACATTCCCGTATCTCATACCAAAGATTATAATTTTGCATATAAGATTGAAGCCAGCAATTGTTTTTTTCTCTCTCCCTCCTCTCAATGATTCAACCTTGATTGTGGTTTGCAAATTGTTAGCAGTATTACACAGGATTCGAGTCATTTGAAGCGCTCTATAATTTTATGTTCTATTCGATAATTTTTCTACAGGCGCAACAAATCGATGTTAAAATGCATCAAAGTTAATTTACATGCATCATTGCATGCATGTATAATTGGGATACACATTTTTCCACATCTTAAAAACTGAAATTATTTAAAGGTGCGAACATGCAATTAGGCTATTGCTATTTATGGCAACGAATCCGTGATGACATTGTATTCGTCAAAATTACCAGTCTCTCTTGCTCGTTTTTAAGTTTTTCTCCTGATATTTTTCCAAAGCACGACGACAATGACAGCTGGACAACGCAGCAACTTCATTATGGTTGTCACTCTTTATGTTGGGTGGCACAAATTTCTACCATTTTTGATTTGGATCCAAAATATTTGAAACGTGCAACAATTGGTTGGATGGATTGAGAGTAAGTTGATAGAAATCGACAGATCGATTCTCCAGAACATAATTTCGAAGGTTCGTCGCATACTGAGAAAAATCGAAGACAATGGCCCTTTAACGTCTGAATTTATTCCGAAGATTTATGCAACGATTTATATGTTAGTTTAAATAATAATAATTGTAATTTTTTTAAATGGCGAGAAAGCCCAATATTTCGTCTAATAATTTAGATATTTTATTTCAATGAAATACATTTTTTTCTAATCTATAACTTTGATGAAAACAAACAACGTAAACATCGATTGTCATAACATTGAAGGCAATATCAGCGGACTTCCGTTTTGATATAGATTAAAGTTTACTCCATTTTTTAATGACTTCGAACTGAAATGCATTTAAAGAGATGTAAAAACTGACTCAAATGTCTTATCTGAAAATATGACATGCATGTGTAAAGTTCAACATAAATATCAAGGATGACCTGAACTCATTAAACAAAGCTGAACAAATCAATATGTTAACAAAGATTTACATGCGTTATTATTCAAAAGCCAAAATTTATTCTCATCCTTAGCAATGAGTTTTTGTTTACATTCAATCGGATTTTGACTATTGAATCTTATTCGGCATGAACTGGCACTCGTTCACTCAATTGACTCAACAATGATAATTTAACTGTAATGATATTCAAATTGATATAAATGTTCAGTTTAGCTGTTAATTCTTATGCTAATTTAATATTTTGTGTATATTTCAGATGGCGTGGAAGCATTTACAAATTAGTTTGGTTAGATCTAGTATGTTTTCTATTTTTATACTACACATTAAACATAATCTACCGTACAGCATTAGACGAAGATCAAAAGAGGTAAAGTTCAATTGTTTGCATCACATTGATTTAAATAAATACCATTAAATTGATTTATTTGCAGAATTTTCGAAGACATTGTAAAGTATTGTAGCACATATAGCAACTTGATTCCATTATCATTTGTGCTAGGTTTTTATGTGACGATTGTTATGACGCGTTGGTGGACTCAATATGTGAGTTATCAACAATGAGTTCAAAAACAGATAAAATTCATTTAAAATTGCAAACATTGTCTTCAACAATGGATATAGTGTATATCTAAAGATATTTCGCAAATACTACAATAAATTCAGAAATTCAGTTGTGACTTTAATAAGAGTCAGTAGAGATGGCAACGGACAGATACGGACACGCACAAACCTTCAATTTGTCACAAAACCAATTAGCCACTATTTTCGAAATATCTGTAGATAATGTTCCAATATCTGCTTAAACGTTTTTTTTTATCTTAATCGAAATATTTGATTTTTGAAAATTTCATTTTTCCACCAGACGTCGATCCCATGGCCTGACACATTTGCAGTATTCGTAAGCGCAAACATTCACGGTCAGGTAAGCGGCTGCGGCTATTATCATGAAATTATTGAATATTACAAAAAAATAACGTATAATTATCGCACACATTTTATTGTCACCGATACAATGTAATTAACGTGGCATAGTGAAAATTGAGTCTTGTGGCCCTGTTATTTCTCTCAGACTTAATAAGTATTATTGCATATAATTCAAAATATAAAATGAAAACCATTCATTCCAAATTGCCTTTGGCTGATAATAAATCGTATTTGTTGTTTTGCTTTAAAACGAAAATTAAAAATACAAACAATTTTATTTGATTTTGACTGTAGAATTTTCTTACGAATTTCTTACATTTACAAAATAATACAGAAAAAAGCGTTTCTCAGCGACAATTTAATGGCGCACACATTTTGTCTAGCCAGCAATGTAATTGTATTGGTGCCGGTCAGTCTTGCTCACAATTATTAACAGCTTCAATAAAACAAAATACATAAACGGATCGTTAAATTTATTGGATTAGTCGTGCCTTATTCCAACAAATAATTTCCACCAAATTGAATGTGTAAAAGACCAAAAGATGGTCAATTTTACTTGACGAAATATGCAAAATTTAAAATCGTCATCTCATAAGAAATTCGAATATTTTACACTTTAAATTTAATTCGCAAAAATTCACTTGAATCTTATACTTGTGCTTTATTCATTTACAGGATGAACGAGGTCGTCTTATGCGACGGATTATTATGCGATATGTGTGCCTATGTTTGACGATGGTTTTATCAAATGTATCACCGAAAGTGAAAAAGCGATTCCCATCGCTCCAACATTTGGTTGAAGCAGGTAAATAATAATACGTAATGAGTCAAACAAATGATCTTTTCAAATTGTATCTTGTATCTCCACGTAGGACTCCTTGAGGAAAATGAAAAGTTCATCATGGAATCCTTCAATTCAAAATTCACAAAGTATTCAAAACATTGGATGCCAATTGTATGGGCTTCTTCGATTATAACTCGGGCCCGCAAAGAGGGACGAATTCGCGATGATTTCGCTGTGAAAACGTTGATCGATGAACTGAATAAATTCCGTGGTCAAACTGGAATTTTGATTGCATATGATACGATTAGTATTCCTTTGGTATACACGCAGGTCGTAACGCTCGCCGTTTATTCGTTCTGTTTAACATCAATAATGGGTTCACAATGGTTTGAAAATAAGACCGTTTCAGATGGAGTACTTAATCGAATCGATTTGTATTTTCCCATTTTTACGATGCTTCAATTTTTCTTCTATATGGGATGGCTGAAGGTGGCCGAGTCACTGATCAATCCATTCGGTGAAGATGACGACGATTTCGAAGTATGTGCACATTTTTCTTTTATAAATTTTCCATATAAATATCTTTCTCTTGGACTTCTCTCAGGTGAACTGGATCATTGATAGAAATCTACAGGTATCTTATATGATTGTCGATGAAATGCATCACGAGCATCCTGAACTCATAAAAGATCAATATTGGGACACAATCTTACCCTCCGACGATCTACCGTATACGGAAGAGAATCTTCGTGAACAACATCCACAACCGTCCACAGCAAATATCGAAGTGCCGAAACGAGTGTTTACGTCGGCGATGTTTACTGGTCTCTCGTCAAGCGCAAAAGTCGATGAAATGGTCGGTAAAAGCGCATTGTCAATAAATAATTATAAGTTTCCCGAAATCGATATCGAGGTTAGGATGAACTTTGAATTCATTTGCTTATTGCACGATTTTAGACACTACTGGCAAAATGACTGGATTTTATTTGCTTTTTGCTTTTGCATGTTGAATATCTGTAGTTAATTTTAAATCCTTTCTTTATAAACTTTAAACCTGAAAAGGTGGAGCTCATCATGAGTTTTGTATGGTTTTAGGTATTTTAAAATTGGAATCACACTAAGATTGAATGCAACTTTAATTCTAGTATCAGCACGATTCCATCAATTTTTCACGTATCTTCGAAACTCGTGACGTTCACTGCAAAAATGCATTCTTCTGACTCTAAAAAGTAGTTTTAGATTATTGATCGGTAGCACTATTATATTATTATTTTACCGCGTTTTTATTTTGGTTTTGGGATATTTATATTTAGACACACTGATACACACTATGTAAATTGCTCGGACTTGATCGAAGAAAGAAGAAAACTAATGAAAACGAATCCTTATTCCAGGCGGATGACAATGCAAGTGGTATTCATTTTACCGTTCACGACCGCCGAATGTCCAGAAATCGCTTGGGCTCAACAAATAGCATTCAAAGTACAGTTGGAAGTGTTCCGCGAGTTAATACCGTTACCAATGTTCTACGTCGGTTCTTCAGTCGTGAGGATCCCCGCACCCCAATTACACCTGAAGGTACACATTAAAATTTGAAAAAAATGTGAGCCAATCTCATTCTCATTTCTATTATACAGGTTCTTTGCCAACACCAACACTCAATCAATCATCTAGTTCAGTAAGTTTAGCGGGACCAAAATATCCGCACATTCCACAGGGAACAATGCGAATTGCTGACCAAGTGATCGAAGAAGTTGATGAACAATTAACAATACAATCGAATCGTGGACATGAAAAACGACCAACTGCTCAAAGCCTGTTTGCATCGAGTAATGAAAAACTGCCGACAAGAAGTGCACCAATACCAGTGCCAGTCACATCAAATTCACATCATAGCAACAGCTATGAATACGTTCAATCAGTCATGCAACCAGAGCATCAACCATATTTATTTCCAAATAATGCTGTGTTCAGTTCATCAGCGCCCGAAGAGAATATGATCCATTTACAAACGCCAAGCATCAAAGTGGACAAAGCCGTTGAATTCAAAGACAGCATCGATGAAGCCAACAAAGACGGTATATTAAAACAAGACCTTTTCTCTCTCAAAATTATCGATTTTATTAAACAACATTTTTTTTTGTTTTGAATATAGCTACTGAAGAAGATGTTGATTGCACAAGGAAAACACCAGATTTGAACACCACCGAAGATGATTTTGAACAATTACGATTGGCGCGTGAAAAGGAACGATTAGAGCGACAAAAACAGAAAATTGCACGATCGGTGAGTCAACAAACCGGCGGTGCTGTCGATGCAGAGGCTTTGATCGAACAATTAACAAATTCAAAAGGCGACGGAATCAATCGAATATCTTACATTGAACCAAATTCGTAAAGCACAAACATAGCATAGCATACACATTTTTTTTGTTGCTCGTTGAAAGATTCACTCGCACAAAGCAAATGATATACGTGCATTTGCTGTAAATCAAAGCATTTTCTTCTCACAAACTCAAGGGGCCTAATTTTGTGATCGATATTCAAAAACAAAACTAAAATTAAATCTCGTACAAAAGAGTACTTTAAATTTATAAACTTTTAACATTAATTTATAAGATCATGCAGATGATGCAAAATCAATCGCATCCGACCATGTGCGACAATTGTATTTAATTGAAATTTTGCTTCAAAATGTATAAAGTAACATGATAAAAGCTTTATATTGTTGATAAAACAGTGATTGTATTAATATGTAGAATAAGAGAAACTATTTTGCTTGCACCATTTACGATGAATCGAAATAAAACATGATTATGGATTGAATTTTATTGAAAATAAAGAAAAATATTGATGACTTCACATTAAACGGTGATTGTTTTTTTTATCAAAATTGGCCAATTTCTGAAGAAACCTACTCGAACCAGCACACCATACTCGTTCACATTAACGAGCATTACATTTGAACAAAATTGAATTTTAATTGCATAACTTTGGGCGTTTCAATAGCAATTGCTCTGATTGTGCACAAAGAAGTATGGAATAATTGATTGTACTGTTCCGTTGTATTGCGAATGATAGTGTGGTTGTTCCGAAAGTCGTTGACCCTTCGAAATTAGCACTTTTGAAATACAAAGTACAAAGCCACCCATACGTTTGACTAGGTGAAAAAAAGCACAATTAACAAATTATATAAGCGAAACATATGCGCTGCTTTTTATTTATTTCAATCCATATTTACAATGTGCGAATGATATACCGGCTTTGAATTGTTTCCGCATTTTTTTCTGTCAACTAGATTTTATGTAAAAATTTGAATTTAAAATATTTTACGATCTTCTTTTTTCAGCCCGGTTATTTATTTGCGACACACTAAAACGCAGTAAATTGATCTCTGATGTATTCTTGGTTGTGAATGTAATTTCATTTGTTAATTTTCTCACAGCAAATTTATTGACCAGACTTCTGCTGCGACACTTGTGAAAAAACAATTGATATTCGCACGTGTATTCATTAGAATTTAGGTTTAACAAATATTTTGTAATTAAATTTTTTCTACAATTCGTTAGAAATCAGCATTTTCTAACGAAAAACACACTTTAAACTACTAAGCATACGAATTATATAGTCTTTTTGACTTTTTAACATGTTAAATGGGAAATTATGATAATTTTTGTTGCAGCATTAACGAATTCTAATTAAATCATTTGATTTATAGGAATTATAATTGATTATTTCTATTGAGCAAATGTCATTCGATTTAATCCTGAATGTATTTTCAATGTACTGCTATATAAGTTCAATTCGAATCTTACCCTTTCGCTTGCGGAAATGATAAATGATCTAATGAATATTGTCTACTTCCTACTGACTCAACATTCCGGAAATTCAGGCAAATTGAAACAGCCATCCCAAAGTTCATTTTTGAAACTTAATTATACAGAATTCACATTCAAACCTGCCATTTTCAAAATATCATTCTTAAATACAAAAAAAAAACATTTTCTTCTTCAACCATATTTCCAAAAATAGGTTGTCTATTACGTAAAAGTATCGAAGAAAAAGAAATCCATTACACAATGTGCGTACAGAGTTCGCTTTATGACGAAAATTAGACACACTTTTCTCGGTTAACAATTGTTAAAAAATGTTCCATATGCTCAGATGTTTTACTTGGTTATTATTGAATGACAATTCCGATTTCATCTGTTATCAAATTTGTGATGAAATCGCTTTTGCGTTTAAATGCATTTTTTCAATCTTTTGTTCCATTCAACCGAAATGTCGCAGTGAATTTTTGACCCCAGCGCCCAAATAAACAAAGAATTAAGAGATTATCAGCATTACAGGTAATAAAATATTACATAGCCAAATATTTTGCCACTTGAAATGATATCTTACTGGTATCTTGTCTCTTCTTATCTATCTCGAAATTAGTCTAAAACGGCGTTCTTCATTTATTTATTTTATTGTCCGACAAGAGAAGGATGATTCTTGTAAAACTGCGGTTAAAATCATTAAAAGAGAATTTTTAAAAAAACAGACATATGCCTTTATTTACATATATACCTTTATTTTATCTTTGTGGTTTAAGAACAAACGAGCGCGATATGCATTTTACGATACCAGAGAATGTTTTTATTATTCGAAAGCACAAAAAATCGTTCTTAGCAGCGAAATAAATAAATACTAAAAAGTACGTGTAATGTGTACATTGTATGAGCAGACATTGTATTCTTTAGCCGATTACAAGCTCATTGTTTAGTCAAGGTCAAAAGTGTTACGTATTCAGTATTATTTTTTTGATGCGCCGAAACAATGAATTACGCATATTTTCAGATTGCCATATGTGGTAGATTTAAATGAAAAGAAATTCTATTGTACGATTTGGAATGGTTGGTTTTTTTGGTTGGTGAAAAGTCCTGAACTGGTCGAGCCAACAACAAAAAAAAGAGTGATATGCTGTTTTTGAGATTCAAATGCGCATTGGATAAATGGAATCACTTATAGTAAAATATTGTAGAGAAAAAGAGCGAGTTTTCGTACGAATGATTTCTATTCTAAAAAAACACTTTCAATCTCCTTAGCGAATGAAGTACATCTCTTCACGTGATAATAAAGAAACTGGTTATTTCATTGTATATTTTGTGATCACAAAAGTCGACTTTCATGAAATTTTTAGAAAAAAAGATCTGATTGAAAGTTTACTAAGGATACTTAAGGACCAATGGAAATAAATATCGCTATGAAGTACGAAAATAAAAATTTGAAGAAATATATTACTTAAACTGTTTAAAAACTGTAACAAAACTTTTTAGTACCAAAAACTCATGTGTGTTGTTTTTTTATAACTTGTGTCCGCTCATTTTGTTCTATCGTTGTAATGCCAAGCGGAATGTATCGAAAAGAGACCGTTATGATAAAGACTAACATCAGTTCCTCATAATTTTTTTTTACAAATATTATGTATTATTTTTGTGGTTGTGCGGAAGAAAGATTGTCGTTGATGTGTGATAAAGATCAATGAGTGAGTCAATATCTCATTCATGTAAAATTGAACGGAAACACCATTTAAAAAAATTGGCAATAAAACTGTTGTATACGCATATGCATTAAATTTTTAATTCCATACCATTAATATAGATATAACGGAGATTTTCTTAATTGATATTTGATGAGAGTAGTTTTATGTGCTTTTGTGTGCATTGTTCAATCGATATATTTCTGTTATAAAAAAAGCGTCCAAGACACTTCGTGGTTGTTAATGTGATTTTATGACATGGTTCTGACATTATTCATAACATTTTCTCATATATCATATCTGGATTTTAGCAATTGGTATAGTTTTTCGTCTCTTCGTGTGCTATCGGTTGATTGTGTGTGGCTGCATTTCCTGTTTGCTTGTCTGGCTCGTGTGCCTGTTCGTATAGAAGGATCTCTAATTTGATTGCGCCGCACGAATGGGCGTGGTCATCTGCGATGCACATACAACATGAAAACAAATGGAAATTCGTATGCGAAGTAAGAGAGCCGCAAGAGGTGGGAGAGACTCAAAGAGAGTGAGAGCCAATTTATAGGTGCAGTCAACGCATCACAGAGAAAACAATTCCCCTCCATGCGTTGTTGTTTTTTTCTTTTATCAACGTAAAATTGTTGGTTTTTTATGCATTCATTTTCAGATAGAGTATAGGCATTTGCCATTCGGTAACATTCTTATTTTGCTGTGATGCTAGGATTTTTCAAAGATATGATTCGATTTTTTTTGAGGGTATATTTCCCTACTTCCTTTTTCCCCCACTCGATATTTACTACGCAACGCAATCGGGGTGGTTGAGCAGAAAGAGAAAAAACCTAGTCATTAAATCCAAAATACGGAATAATTACATTAAAAGGCCATCTGAAACGAGTTCTGGAAAATTCCATGACAATGTTTTAATGAATTTTTAATGAAATCTTAAGTCTCTTGGGCAAGTAATAGCAAAACGAACACAAACCATGTTCATGAAGTAGTGATCACTACTTAGCTAGCCACGCTTAATTGCAAATCATCAAATGAATGTATTTGTTTCGAAAAACATTTGCAATTAATTATGAGAGAGCAGCAAATGTGGCTTGGATTTCGTATATGAATAAATGCTATGATGTAGAAAATTTAGTTCCAAATAATTTATCACTACTTCATATATATAAATTTAATTGAAAACGCGCAATAATCTGAGTTATGGGTTTCATCGAAGTAAGCATTCAATTTCAATGGACGCTTTAGTTTTATTAACCTAAAACAAAACCATAGCCATATTCAGAGGAAAGAAATCATAAATTTACTTTTTTCTAGAACGATCGAACATAAATGTATTGATGTGAGTGTATATTTATGTTATAGAATGTCTATAATGAAAAATTACACAAAGACAAACAAAAAAAATTGAATATTGTGAAAGCAAAAAAAGAAAAAGAATAAAAAAATAGACAACTACACATCCAGAATTGGAATCGTAATTGTATAGTTCAGAGGAAAAAAAAAATTACTTCATGATGTATCATTTGCAAGTGTATTGGAAACCTTGCATCGAAATGCCAGTTCAAAACTATTGTTTGCGGCCGTACAAAGACGACTTTATAATATTTATTCATTTTTCTTTCTTTTTTGTGTATGTAGTGTGAGCCGAAATTTAAACGAAAATTTGTACGCGAACAACAACATGAACAACGGGGAATGCGCGAACAAGCGAATGTATGTGTGTATGCGTTCGCGTATAAATTACTGAATATAAAATCAAAACAATACACATGTAAATTGTGTGCATAGCCGAACATCTCCGAACATCAAAATCGTTGAAAATTCAACGCTCATCGCGTAGAACACAATTAAATACAGCCGTACATTTCGATGTGAGCAATACGCAAACAATAAAATCGCACCAAGTGTAGATGTGTATGTGCGCGCGGTATGCAAACACTCACAAATACAAACGCTCATATGTTTTGGTTTCGTGTGTATTCAACGTTTGTGTACGACACAATCATCAAAATATATTCATTTTGACACAGACACACGAGGATATATGTTCACATGAAAGACGATGTGATACAAATACATCGACACAGAAACTAAATACGAACACACACTTGTATCCCATTCGAATAATAGCACACATATGGTTCGTTTGCGCACATACCGACTCACACACATTGACAGTGTAATACACCATACACACCGACCGAATTGGGTAGCAAAGTGACAACAATAAGGCAACATCGAGAATTTTCACACACAAATCGGGAAAGAAAAAAATTTATATATTGCTTCGGCATTTGAAAACATTCACATTGGAGGTTAGTACAATTCGGTCCGCTAGGCAGTGAACCCAATAAACGCATATACGAAAACGGTGTGTATCGTTTTTCCATTGATCCAAATTGAATGAAGAAAAGATGAAAATTTGTGTAGTGCATTTAATTTATTATTGTATCCCGCATATAAAAGTGTGCTTATTCAATTTCGAATTGAAGAAAATGTAATAGTTGAAGAAGAACAAAGCAACAACGAATGAAAAAAAAAAAAACGCCGAAAAGAGCGAGAAGTGAAGAAACAATTGTGCGTTTTAGGTACATACAAATTAATGAATGTCTTGCATTCAGTGGCTTTAATTGTAAATTTGGTTGCTGTTGTTGCTGCTGCTGATGTTAAATGATTTCTTGTTGGCTTTTGTGTGTTCATTTTCGTATATATGCATATATCGACTAGTATCTACATCACAATCGCGTTGATATATTATATATTTTTGTTGTATATATATATATATATATATATATATATATAAGTGGTCGCTGCTGTCATTCGCGTTTTGTGTGCACTTTTTCGGTGTTTCTCACGACAATTTCAAAATCTACACTCTGTTTCTCTCTGTATTCACCATGCGCTGGTTTTTCTCGTTATGTGCGCGATTCTACACATTTTTTACTTATTTGTTTTTAATGTTCGCTCTCTCTCTCTTTCTCTTTCTATCCATTTACTATTACACTATTTGATACGTATTGCGATTGACATTTCTCGATGTTCGTTCAATAAGCCATGTACTGGAAAATGCTGTCATTTTCATATTTCATGACATTAACTCAGGCTGATATGATGTGTAAAGCTTATATGCTTTGAATGTTTTCGATGAAAATCTAAATGGTATCGTGCATATTTTTCGTATGTAGTTTGTTTCATTTGAAGGATGTTTGAAAGTTCACTAATCGTTGCGGCTACATTGTTTCTTTGGAGATAAAAATGTAACGAAAACTTGGCACTCGACGTTATTATTCTCTTCAGAATGAGAAGCAGAAATAAAAAATCGATATCAAGTGTTTCTTATGTGTTGTCACGTCACAATGATTTTAACAAAAAAGTTTTTCTGCCGTTGTACATTTACGAATTGGCGTCAAAGGCGTTCCAAGTCTTGACATACAATAAAAATACAATGAAAGAAGTAAGAAGAGAAGAAAAAAATACCATTTTTATTCGACGAACAAGCTGCAGTTCATCAAGGCACCGAAGCGGAAAACAACCAGAATCGGCGTTATATGTGGCATAGCTTTATACATACCTTTATAACACATATAGGTATAGATATAGTATTCTATATCAAACGAATGACAGTTGCTACTTGCGAATCAATTCACTATATGCTTTCGGAAACATTTTCGGCCTCAATTTTTTTCTGTAAAAATATATGAAACAAAACATTATATTTGCTTCGTAACAAAGTTTTACAGTGTGTTTGCTTTTGTTTTGGCTTAAATGTTTGGCAATTCGAATTGAAAAGCAATTTTCAAATATCCAATGTCATTGCTGTTAGCGAAATGCATGAGTTGTTGTTTTCTTCTCATCTGTGTTATTATTTGTATTTGAGTAAAATGGGCGAATAAGTCTAATAAGAAAGATCCAACTAGAAAATGCACAAATCAATGATTTTGTTCTCTCTCTCTATCTCTCCTTTCCCTCTATCTTCCTACGTGTATTTACTTCATTTGATTCAATTTCGAGTGCACAATCTATGAAATTTCAATGCTTAAATGTTTTCAATGTTATGGATGTTCTGCTGGTGTTTTATGCTAGCCGTACGTGTGTATGTGTGTGTGAATAGATATCATGTCTATAGAGTAAGGCAAGAAGAAATATTGAAAATCGGGGGCAATTCGATATGCGTCAGTGTGAGTAGGTGTGATTCCAATATCGTATAAAGAGCATACGTATAGTTACATGTTGTTTAATGTAATGGTGAAGAACACAACCGAATGTAAATATAAATTAAAAGTTTTTGAATTGAGTCGCTGGCTGTTCGAATGGTTTTCAATAAACTAAGAAAAAATATATACATACTTTCTTATTTACACAATTGGATTACATTCGTAGACTTTGACTCCTCTCAATACTCAACTGAGTGGAGTGGATGTTTTTTGTATTTTTTTAATTAATCGTCTTAGAACCCTAGCTGAGTATTGTTTTTTCTTCTATCTTTATTGAATTCCACAATCGATTGAAATGGAATATTTTTTTTTAATTAAAAAGCAAATTGATTGCAAGTACCACTGATAGGAATTCATCTGGAAATGTATATATACTAATGTTGACAAAATCCAAATATATTTGAGAAGAAAAATTAAATAAATATCGCGTCAATTTAACCATTTTAAGTTTACAACGAATAAGAAGAAGAAGAAGAAGAAGAAGAAGAGAAGGAAAAAAGAAACAATTCAAAAACAATTTTAAATCATTCGAAGTCGCTGTGTCGTTTGGACTATTATTTGATTTTCAAATGTCTGCTTCGAACAGACATTTGCTCAAAGTTCCATGAAAATAATAAATATCTAGATATAGAAAGAAATATTAAATTGACAGTAGCAAAGTAGTAGCATTAAAAAACGATTTAAATGTCGATCTCGGCTCAACGATGGATGTGTGTGGGTAAATGTGTATGCATGAGTGTGTGTGTGTAAGAGAGAGAATCTCGTGCGCTTGTGATTGCTGTTTTTTTTTTCTACTAGCATTGTATCGAATATGTGTTTGTGCATATGATAGGCTCTTATTTGTGTCGCGATGCGCGCTACATGCTATTGTGAATGTGAGCGCACGAATGTTGTTTACGCTGTACGGTTTTGACGGTTGTTTTTAGTAAACAAGAGAGATACATATAAGTACATACGATGCACAGTTGATGTTGATTTGTATGAATACGTATACATGATTCGATTTTCTCTATATAGTATCTAAATCAATTTTTTAATTTTTTACTCGCTAGTAGATTCGAGTAAATTCAAGTCTCGGCTACAACTACAACTACAATGTGTACTCAACGCATTTATGCGCGTATGTATTTGCAATGCACAGCTCTTTTACAATTTTGTTCACAAAAATTCAGTTAAAATTCATAGTGGAACAACTTAATCCAGCGAGAGTCTATGTATAATGTTGTGCATATCAATGTCGTTGTGATTTTTCGCTTTTTATCGTGAAATGAATATATTTGGTTTTTTTCGAAATGTACATTTTCCCTTGTTCAATCTCCAAGCTCTTTTTTTTTATCTTCGAGTGTTTCATCGTAACACAAAATCAATCCAAAAACAATCAAAAGCCTAATTTTCAATCATTTTGCGACAAGGTCAACTAGGTTGTCGTTTAATTTCGACTTGATTTTCCCCATGTATAACAGCATCATATGAGATATATGTATACGAATGCCATACACTCAATTCGCAATCAGTGCAAAACACACTTTGTTTTTATCATGTAAAATGGTTTTTATGACTTTTATTTTGAAACAAGAAAATTAATTATTGTTTTTTTCTCTTCATTTCTTTCAGATAAAATCAAAAACGAACTGAATGGTAAACAGAATTCCATGAAACTGTTTATAAAAAAGTGGACAAAAGAACACGCTCTAAAAAAATATATAAAACAATAAGAATTATATCGAGTGAATGGTGAAAATTTCGTTCGGCATACGTGAATTAAGTTTAAAAGAAAAAAAAAAATTCCGAAAAAACCTCAGTGATTTGTAACAAGAAAGAAAACCAAAAGAAATTAATTGGAGAAAAAAAAATCGAATTACCAAGAACATTGTATGGTATTCGTGTTGTAAGTGAGCAAGTGTGCGATGTGGTGAATAGAAACATGAGCGCCGACATTGGCGTTCCATGGCGATCATCGGCTGTATGCAGCGGTGAATCGAGATCTCCATCGTTGTCATCATTACCTCCACTTCCTGATTTGATTCCAATACGAAAGAGCAACAATAATACGCTTATTAAAGCCAATCTTAAACATGCCAATCCAACAAACAATGGATCTGCGTGCACAAATGCTACAAATAACATTGAAACGATGAACAGTCATCCGAATAGTGATCAAAACGGGAATATTGCAAATGATGATAGTCAATTTGAAGAACAATTGACAGACATTAAACCAAATGCCACAGAATTATCTTTGTACAAAACTTATGATGGGAATCGAAATGGCACTGAACGTGAAGACGATGAAGAGTACAATGACGACGACAACGACAACGACGATGATGATGAAGAAGAAGAAGAAAATGACCAACACATTGAAGGCAAAGCAGCAGCAAAATTGTCGATGTCGATAAAACAAGAACATCATCGTCGTTGTTCGAATGATGACGATGGCGATGCATTTCGCAAGTGTGCAAATGCATACAGCGCCGATGCAATGGCTACTGTTTGTGTTAGTATCGGTGGCAGTTATTTTACAAATGCAAACGGTAATACGGTTCAGTGTGACAGAAATGTGGATGGTGGACAGTTAAAGCACATAAATAATACGTCTTTGATAAAAAATGAAAAGTGTCAAAACAGTGGTGATTTAATGAATAGTACCAATAGTCAATGCAATAACACCGATTTTGGTTCGTTTGACGACCAAAATGTCGAACAAAAAAGTGCAGATAGCCGAAATGACAGTCAAAAATCGACCAACAATGTTGGTCAACGGCCACAGAATGGGAAAGCCGGCAATAAAAAAAGTCAAAATAATTACATTTCAGATATGCCAAAACGTACAACACGAAGTGCATTAGATACATATGAATGCAAAGCAAGACTTTATACACCATTACCGGCACATTACTATAGTGTTCAATATGCACGAGCCGCACGAAAACCAAAACGAAAAGTGCTTAAAGGTAAGGGACGCGGTGGTGTTACAAAAGTTGGCCGAAAACCGAAAACAAAATCAAATACAACAAAAAATGCATCACTTGCACTGGAAAGTGTTACAGAAAAAACAACAACATCATCAACAACCGCCACACCACAAATGCCATCAAGGATTAATCCGATTTTTTTGTTTGTTAAACGTGATAATACGCGAATCGTTGAGGTTCGATGTGAAGACTATGACAAACGGAATCGAATTCGTTTAACAAAAACGGCCAGCGGATGGCGGGCCACACCAAGGACGGACGTTTCAAATGAAAATGCCACAAATGTTTCGGCGACAATGTTACCAAAGGTCATGGTCAAAAGGCTTGAAGATTCGGATACAAAAATTTTAAATCAAAATGCGAATAACATAGAAAATGATAGCGATAAAAATTCAACCTGGCGTGTGAATCCATTTTCACAAAATCGAATTTTTATCAAGAAAGATGTGTGCACCGCATTGAATAACAATGATTGTAAATTCAATAGCATGTATGAAAATCGTCAATCGCATGATGGCAATAATAGCAGCAATGCTGAACATAGTAGTGGCATGGATACATCCGCATCCGACAAAGTGCATTTGTTAAATGAATCGTCGTCGTCGCTGGCAACGCGAAAAAAGCACAAGAAGAAAAAGAAGAAGAAAAAAGAAAAGCACAAATCGAAATTGGATAAAATGCTGTTAACGACGACCGAACAATTCGGTTCACATTCGGATGTATCATCAAAACAAACTACTCAAAATGATGCTATAAGTGAGGATGGACAAAGGGCGCATGTGACACTAATACCAAAATCTATGGTTGTAGCATCGAAACGAAATGCATCTGGAAATGCAAATGCCAATGAATGCAAATTTACGATTCGACTGAGCAAAAATGGGGAATCGTCGTTCGTTGCAACGAAAAAATTCTCAACTATATCATCCATACCATCGTCGTCGTTGTCGTCGTCGTCCCGATCGCCAAAACCCGAATTCAACACATCCAACGAAAAGAGCAACGGGCTGAGGCTAAAAATCGTTGCGGAACAACGGCAACAATTCCTTACCGAACGAGACCATTTTAGCGACGAACAGGAGAGCAATAGCGTTGCCGAAATGCATTCGGTGGCAGTTGAACAACAACAACAACAAGCCACAGAAGTAGATTGTGATAGTGGTGAGATGTACGATGGAATTGATGCAGAAACTAAAATGAATTTGGATGCGTTGAGCGCAAGTGTGAGCAATGTTGAGTTGGCCGCAACTATCGATTGTGAGAAAATTGATACGAAGAAGGAAATTGTAACGCCAGCAGAGTCTCCTTACAGCCAAGTCGAATATCCTTCTCTGTCTCCATCATCGTTGCAGCCACATCACCATCATCATCGTCATCGACCAATACAAATGCAATCGAATGATGCAGTGGAACTCTCAAATACATTCATAAAATCGACGAGAGGCACGCAACAGCAACAGCAGCAGCCATCAACTACAAGCGAAACAATCTCAAGTTGCAGAAACAACGATATTGAAACGTTTGCGAGCCCAGATAGTGCACCAGTTGAGACATTTGATTCAAAACTATCAGTGAAACAGTGTGTTGCGTCTCGAAATTCTGCAAATGCAGCATCAACAGCACCAACAGCAGCTCCCACACAATTTCAGTGCAGTGACAATAATAACAGTATTGATGAAAATTTAAGCATTGAAAAACATTTAGAAGATTGTGTTGATTTGCTCGATGAGAGTTCATACGACATTGAAAATATACAAGTGAGTGAACCACATGAAATTGGCGTTGATAACGAATCACATTCGAATCAATTGCATCACGATCTGGGTGAGTACCATGAATTAATTGCTCGCATTCAAAGTGGCGACGACGATCTTTTGAACGGTGATAATACTATGAGCGGAACCGAACTTATTGATTCGCTGGTTGAACGTGGTTGCAAAGACAACAATATATCGGGCGAAGACGAAGAAAATCAACACAACGATCTGAAAAATTCAATTTGTTTATCGGACGATTACAATGATGTGGACACAAATTTATTGCTGAGCTCACAGCCCGTTGTCGATATTTTAACGCGTTTGAATAACGAAACAATGGCTTCGTCATCATCGTCGTCAACCAAATGCTTGTCATTCAATGAGGCGGGAGAAATTGAAGGATTGAGCGATGCATTATTTTCAAATGCAAAAGGCGATAGTTTGGTGCCATTCAATCAAAGTGCATTCGAAGAATTATCAATGACACTGAAAGGACTTGAAAAGCAATCAAATCAAAATACAAATGGAAAAGATGTCGTTTGCACAGTCGTTTCTCCTGATTCGTGCGAAGATGAATTGCCAAAAGATTTGAGCTTCAAAAAAACAAAGGAGATTTCAGCAGGCCTGCGCATTGCATCGCCGCGAACAATTTCACGAGGTTCCGATGCAATTCAATCCCCTCAACCCTCTGGCCTGCCAGCTGTGCCTCCATCACCAGACATTATAATGGCATTGCATCAACATAGAAAACAAAATTCACTATTTTTAGACATTTCATCACCGTCACCAAAACCATCCGAGGCAAATGTTTTACATTCTAAATCGGACTTTTTCGATTTATCATCACCAATACCAAAGGATGACAATGACAATAACAGTTCATCCAATACAAATATCACGTCAAATAGTAACACTAATATTAATAATAATAATAATAATAATTCACGTAGCATTTTAAAGCGAACGCTACAAAGGGAACCGCTTGATTTGGGCCATAAACATCGTAAATCGGCAAGTCCAACCATAAGTTGTTCGGAAGAAGTGCAACGTTTGTCGGCGATGGCCAATGGTGAACCGCTGGCAAGACGCATAAAGACTGAACATCGTACTGATAACAATAGTTTATTGGCCGCTGCAGCGGCAACAGCAACATCAAAAGACACTAGTCAATCATCAGCTTCGGCTAAAGATCCAGATCCTCTAACGCAATTGCGTTTATTGATAAATAATCCTGAATGGAAATTGCCCGATCCAATTTTAGTGCCAAAAAATCGATTAAACGCTGTATTGGCATCGCCAGCACGTGAAATTCCATTGTTATTGACCACAAGACCTGAACTTCGACTACCCGAAGCATTTGCATATCCGTCAATACTACAAGATCCTGACATACTTGTGATATCGTTTGCCCAACTGGAGACCATCATTCGCAAACAAAGTGAATTTATGAAAGACGCCGATCCAAATCGAAATTTAACATCGAATAATAATAAACATAGCACGGCTGCAACATCATCATCACAACAAACAAAATCTACATCAAATCAAAGAGACCATCAACATTCAAATCAACACCATAAAGATCGTAAACACACCGAAAAATTACCGGAAACAATTCAATCAAGTCATGATAAAAATACGATGAAAGCAACTAGTGCACGAACCGAGACGACTGCTGTTTCACCGGCCGGAAATCCAACCACGTTAGCAAATGACATAAATTCCGCCACACTAGAAGCTTTAAATCAAATGATTTGGCTACCATACTTGAGCCAACTCTCACAAATGGGTCAAATAACACCCGAACTACTGAAAGCAATGTCAATGTCAAATTTACCAATGCAACCAAATGCATTTGCTGCTGCCGGTGCAGCGGCCGCCACTCAATTTGGTTTATCAAATGCATTGCCAAATTTGAATAATCCACTTGAGTTGGCAATGTGGCAAGAGGCAACGGCAAATAAAGTCGCATTTCAACGCCTTATGGAAATGAATGCGCAAAATATTCGTGAAGTGCAACGCAAAGCAATCAATGATGCTAAAATGCAGCAACGAAGTCAAGATAATATTGCGGCCGCATTGCGACAACAGCAAACTCTATTGCAGCAAGCACAAATGCAAAAATCGGCCAGTGCATTTTTTCAAAATTTTCAAAATCGTACACAACAAACCCAGCAAAAGAGTCCGGCACAACCATTTTTATCGTCGGCATTTGGAAAAGACAGCCAAAATGAAGCATCACAACAACAACAACGAACGGCATGCAATTTACCGTCACCAACATTACCAAAACGATTGGCAAATGCAATGAACCAAAGTCCATTTTTCCCATCGACCAACAATTTCTCAAATATGGCCAATTTACATCACAAATTTGGTATGGGCGGTAGTGGAGGTGGCGCTGGCAGCAGTGGTGGCAATACATCGGACAATGCAAACAATACGGCAACATCCCAAAACGCATTGAGAAAAGCTCGCAAAGAACAACTTTTACAACAGCAACAACTACAAACATTGCTTCTTCAAAATGCCGCCCAACATTCACAACTCAATTTACCTGTGCACCATCATCATCAATCAAATGAATCGTCAAACAAATCGCTAATGAATTTATTACAACAATCAAACTTGGAACAAATGCGTTCACAACGCAATGAAACAATGGCAAACAGCAATAAAATGTTATCAACGATTCCATCATTTGATCTTACCTCACCGAATTCGCAACAGCAAACCAGCAATAGCAATACAAATCGACCAAAGCTTCGTGTTAAAAATGGTTTACATTTACTCGATCCACTCGCCGCTCAAAGACGTTTCCTTTCCGGTAATGCTGCACGATGCAATGATAGCCCGGAAATTGGCAGCACCACAAATGGAATTGATGAAATGATGATGAATTCCGGTGTTTTGAAGTAAGTAAAAAGTCTACCTTTGGAATATCTATTTAGAGAAATATCATTCATTTTTTTTTATTAAAGCAAGATGACCGTTAGATATTTTAGATACTCGTCATCATGATGAAATTCATTGAAAATAAGAGTGTGTATATGTTTTGAGAGTGCAGTACTTTATCTAATGCAATTTCATTCGGAATAGCTAGTGCACATATACATTTGAAATTTTCAATATGCACACACACACACATAATACAAAAGAGTAAATCAAATTTACTTTGACCTACATCGAAACGAACTGCCGTACGTTAACATGCTTTTTTTATTCATTTCGTTTGCTTTTGTTGATACGGAGTCACATTTACTCAATTTCATTTAATGAAACAATGGAAACGGTTGATAGAGAGCGAGAGAGAGAAAGAGAGTAGAAAAAAAATGTAGAACATTTTTGAATGAATTTCAATAGTACAAAATGTTCATGCGCTGCTTTCCATAATTTTATAGGTGACAATTTTATTTTGTGTTTTGTTTTCGATTTATATTGCGTTCAGATAGCATTTAATCGCAAGCAACACGAAAAGAAGTCAACGATTCGGTGAGCAGAGCTTTGATTTTGATTTTTTTTAAGTGTACAAACACAGCAGCACTCCAATAAAATCGAGAAAAAAAATATCGATTCAAAGTACAGTGTTTTTAGTAAATTAACGGTTCATTTTATGGAATTATGGCTAAAATAATATTGTTTGAAAATTAAAACATGTATACGAACATGAACATTCCATCGATTCAATTAAATTTCCAATTATTATTTCTGTATGCATGAACAATTCTTTACTCACACTTTTTGAAAGTGTACTTTAATCGTAATTGAAAGCGCATTGCAAAAAACAAACAAACAAACTGAAACTCGATGATTTAAGGTGCAAAATATTTGCTCGCACAAATTTATGATTTACTATTTATCGGTTGTCTGATTTCATTGGCGACACAATATCAACTTCAAATAATGTTGACATTTTTTTTTATATAATATATTCTCTTTGTTAAATTCATTCACGGCAGTGCAAGGTTAAACCAATTTGGTAAATATTTGCATATAAATTTGTTGTGTGTCAGTTAAATCGAAAAAATTCATGCGAATTGAAATGAGATTTTGGTCGTTGCTTATGATTTGTTGTTGTTGCTCTCCTCTTTTTGCCATTGTTATATCGCAATTCGAAGTTGCCCGGAACCGATTACGTAAAATCAAAACGTCAAGGGTTCTCGTCAAAGCCAGTTTCAAATTTTTATGACTGCGGTAATTTTTGTGTTATCAAATGACGCACTGTAAAAATGTTCGATCGGTGTTAATTGCATTGTTGCCGCGCTTCACCATGTCATAGCACGTGGGAATTTTACGATTAACATGATAATAACTCGCATGTTTTTTTTGACTGGTGCGTTTTTTTTCGTTTGTGGTGACAGTATCGCATTACAACGTATTTATTTCAATAGTATATCTTCTTAATAGGGTCAATAAAAATTATTTATTCAATATTCCGGTCAATAAGTGATATATATATATGTTTTCAACTGTAAAATCTTCGAATTATCATGGAAATTAGTTTGTTAAAATGTTTCTTTTGATTTTTTCAATGATCTTTTCAAATATGGTCCAAAATATGGTGTCTTTAAAATGATGAATGAAGCAGAAAGAAAAAGGAATAAATGACAAACAAAGAAAATATATGACCAACTAAACGATGCATGTTTTTTGCTAAACGTTTGATGTATTCCGTGTCAAAATGTGTCTGAAATCACATATCAACTCTTTTTTTGCTTAAACGCATTCATTTGCTGGAGTTTAATGACTATAAAACGTTTAACGTGTGCTACAATGTAACTTGCAATTGTTTTTGCAATGAAATGGTTGATCATTAAATGACTGTGCAACTCAACATTTCTTTCATGAACCAGCAACAGTAATCCTCACAAACGTCAATGCAACATTCGTTTGATCTACCTCTCTCTCTGCTTCTCTCCTTCTTTGTCTATTGTACTATAAAGAATAAACGTAAAGTAGGGAATCTCTGATGTGATTTATATCGAATCATAACGTTTGATAGTCCGCATGTATATAAATTTGAAATGTGCATTTGCATTTCAACACTCGCTGAAGTGCGTCTCATACGCGAAGCATCATTTACAACTCTTTTTTTCGTCAAGTGGCAAATTGCACACATTGACTCTGAATGATGTTCAGTTTAAGCCTTTCTTACGTCTTCTGGTTCCAATTAGGTCATCTACGATTGTAATGATCTTTTCAATAATGTGTTCGAATCATTTGCAGATAGAGAGTGTAATTAAAGGCGAATACATTATTGGGCGTGGATTTTACCCGGCACCAAAATCTCATTCAGCAATGATTATCACTGTCCATTCCAACAGACAGGCAATCATTTTTATTCATGTACTCTCTTTTGAGCGCACAATAATCGCGCAAATGTTGTTATTTATTAAAAAAAAACACAGTTTAAATAAAGTTCAGAAAAACTTGCCAATGATGGATTATATTTTCACCGAACATTGTTAAATGGTTATTAAAATACGTATAAAATCAATAATTTTTTTTATTTCGAAATCATTTCGATGTATAAAATAGTAACATTCCATTAAGGACGTTCATTTCGTCTCTTATGCGGTTCGACTACCTCTAGGGCAGGGTTTTCTATATAAAATATGTGGATGTCCACATGTTTGATACTTTCAATCCAATTTAACACAATTATGCATCTACGGTGTTTTGATTCAATTATGGTCTCTCTCTTTCTCGGTGTGTGTGTGAGTGGAAGAGAGAGATTCTATTAAAGTTCATGCGAAGTCATGATGATGTTGCGATGCATAAATCATGAAAATGAAATTAGAATTATAGAAAATGTAGAAACCGCACTTTAAATGAAAAACTAATTTCATAAATTGTTGTGAATAAATGAAAAATGAGATTTAGTGGCAGTTTTAGTGCTATGTTCGTCATGTACCCGTGCTCTGATGTGTTTGTCTAATGTATTTTGTTATATAAGAAATTTAATATCAATCGCACGTGTGTATTAAATGTGTCACAGCTGCAGATTGAGTGAATGAGTGCACGCAATCGATGCACGAATTTGTTTTTTTTTTTCTTTTTTTTTAACACAACACAAATTTATTCGATTCAATATCAAATGAAAGAGAGACGTCAATGAAATGGATTTTCAATTCGATCACATTGCACTTTATATATTTTTAGAATTGCCTTCGTTAAATCAATAGCATTCGAATAAGTATGTTGGGCGCTGGCATATCTATGAATAAAGAAAATACTTCAGTCTGAGAATGTTTTTTCGTTAAAACCTTAAAGTGACACACCGCACACAGAATGAAACATCAAACCAAAACAAAACAAAAAAATGCTCAAATGTAGATAATGATGTCAAACATTTTGTGCAAAACAACATCGATCACTATTTTCATCATTACATTAGCCAGTATTTGGCATAGTTTCTGGCTAATGCCACTACTTTTAATCAGTTGTTCTCATTTCGTTGCTCGGTACACACACATATTGTATCACATCAGATAAAATAAGTCACGCATTTTTAATTCTCTTGATTGAGGTCATCGTCTCCAGGCACTTTAGCTGATACATCATAAATGGATAATGCTGTTTATATTTTGTGAGTGTGGTTTTTTTTTCTCATTACACATTGTCTCCGTTTTCAGCATCGTTTCATCCCATGATTTTGTTTAAAGCGGAAATGAGAGTTCGTATTAATGATTTAACTTTTACATGCAATGAATTCAGATTCGTTTGCTCTGACTTTTTTTTTTGTGAATTTTTATTCCATGTGGATACACTTGAATCATCCCAACATTAGATTTTATTTTTTTTAACAAACTGGGAAATTCTTCATTACAATCACAAATTTATCTGCATTTTCGTTTTGTCCTTAACGAGAATATGGAATAAAAAAGACGATGGAAATTTTAATTAAAACAAAAAATCCCAGTGATTCATTTTACATAAAATGATAATTTTTTTGATGTGATTTAGCATGAATGGAGATAAAGAGAAAGACAGTTTGATGAGATAGACTGATCTTGCTGAAGTATACATTTTCCGTTCACTTCCATTTGCCGTCAGTGATGATTAAAATATCTTTCGGGATGAACAACGCCCAAGCAGCAACAGACTGCAATTCATTGATATAAAACTGATGAACATCAAAGACAGACAGGGAGAAAAGAAAGAGACACATCATGATAGAAGGAGATAGAAAGCGAGAGAGGTGATCGAGAGAGAGAGAGAGAGAGAGAGAGAGAGAGAGAGAGAGAGGAAAAAAGGCACCGAATGAGCATAGCTTGTTAAAGTTTACACACAGCACACTCGCAACTACGCAATAATAAAAAATAAAATTAAAAACGTAAGCAACTGTATGAACCTCAAAGAGACACAACAAATTCTGGTTTAATTGAAACAATGGTTTCAGATTATAATCTGTTTACGATACACTAATGCACTTCCTTCGAGTTGAATTGCATTACAAGCGGTTTTATACACTGTGTATGTCTGTTTATCTGTCTGTCCACGTTTGTGTTCGGTAAAGTAATTTAAGTTGTCTATGTGTGTTTATATACGAATAGAAATAAATGCGAATTCACGGCGACTTTCTAATTTTGATTTAATTTTTTTTTTTCACATTCATATTCAATACAAAGTGTGTTGGAAATACGACGACAGTCGCAAATAATTCACTTGAACATTAAAGAGTGACTCTTCCATATGGCAATATCTTTGCTCTTAAGCGGTCAATGCATTTGAACATAGTTTTCAACACATACTTAATGGATACGAAAATGAAAATGAACGAAAACGAGTTCAAAAGGTGCTCAAAGGCACATTTTTTCGATTAAATATTGAAAATTAAATATAAAAAACCAACCATTCTCGGTCGCTCCCTTCCACTTCTGTCAAATTAAATTTTTACTTCAATCGAATAATT